CTCTCAGCCCCTGAACTCCCAGGTCTGCTCTGAACTCCCAGGTCTGCTCTGAAGAGTGGCTGTGTAATGGCACTGTGGAGGCAGGGTTGGATTGCGGTTATTGAGAGAGATTCATGTCTGTTGCTAGTGCCTCGAGTTTTTTCTGGGTCTTTCCTGCTGAGACCTTGTCATGCTCATTGGGAATAAAGATCCCACAGAAAGAACATAGCCAGGGAAGCTGAGAACAAGGTGTGAGAGAGATGAGAATGTGGCTTCCTCTGTGGTGACTGCACTGGTTCAGAGGGTCTGCACGACTTCATCATCAGGTCAGCGGTTACCAGCAGGGGTGTGCCCAAGGGACAGGAGTTGCTCTCCAGACCACAGCCATGCCGGACTCATTGTGGTCACAGAGTTCCCCACATTACTGCATCCCACTTAGAACTCTGTGAGCCATAGATCCCCCTCCAGGGTAGTGCTCAGGGAAGGGAGAGGAGAGGCTCCTTTTATACACAGGAGGAAAACAGTTTTTAAGGGCACGGTTTGGGAGAAGGCTGCATGAGATACACAGCACGCCTGTTGCTTTGCTATCTATGTTAAAGGGACGCAATCAATTTAAAAAATCACACTGAGACATGTACCTTCCATGGTTACAAGCCTCACCTAATGTTCCTGGAACTGACAGTGATTAGAGAAAGAAAAGAGTTTCTCTGGCCTCAGCGTGTTTCCTGTGTGTGACAGCATGCTGTGTCTAGCCAGTGTCACTGCTTCCCCTCTTGTCTTGGGGGAGGTGTTTCACAGCAACAGGGGAGAGAAGAACACATGAAAAATAGGGGAATGTGATTGTAAATGCACAAATGTTGTCTGGGGCTCATGGGATGGACGTGAAAACTAGAAAGACTAGATCTCGAGTTGTTGCTGTCCTTGTAAAGGTTCTCTTAGAAGCTCTAGTTTTAGCCCCTGCCTCTCCCCAATAATTCAGAAGGTAATGGAGAAAAAAGGTTTCTTGCAAGTTTGGAGAAAATCACTCAAACCGCTTTGTTACTCTGACTTGACACTAGTTGTCTAACAGGTCTAGCCCAAATTACTACTTGGCTAATCATTCTGGGAAGCTAGTGCCCAGGTAAAACTCAACCCAGCTGGTCAGTGAGCAGAGTTACTGCAGAGTAGGACAGTCATTAGTGTGTGGTGTAGACCATCAGGCTATGGGGCTCTGTGTAGACGTAAAGTTATTTTGCTAACTCAACCAAGGACCAATTCTGCATGAGAGAAGGCCAAGTGACTCTCTGAGATGAATTAGAGGCCTGGGATTAAGCCATCTTGAGAGTAAGCCGGGGCCAGGGTCTGTGCAGGGAACTACTGGAGTCCAATTCTGCTTTAAAGCCACAGAATAAAGACAAGTACAGGGAGAGAGGATTTTGTGTGTGTTGTGTTAGATCCTACTTGATCACAGGAAGCTAGGAGCTAATTGCATCTTAGAGTGAACATAAGGGTCCTCTTACAATGACAGTTAATAGAGCTTTCTTCTAGCTTGAGTGAAGACGGCTGTGAAGCCAGGCTTCCAGTCTCATTCTGCAGCCATGTGTGGCATGCGCTGTGACAGTTCACTTGTAGTCCTGCATTTGTGGCAGAATGAGTGTGTCTGTGTGAAGGAAGCAGGTCACGCTGATTTGGAAATTTGAGGTCATTTAAAAACTTGCCGTGTGGAACCTCGCAGGAGCAGCTCCACGGGTATGGCTGCGGTTTGGGTTCCAGTATATGCTCTGTATTCACTCCCCTCAGAACTTGCATAGTAAAAGTAATGTTGTTCCTTTCCCTTCAGTGGAAATTATCAGATCAAACTTTAGATGTAATTTTGTCACTGCTAGGAAATATTAACGATGGAACTCCTGCATCGTAAATGAAATACGTTAGATAAACTGTTAGTGCGGGAAGCATTTAAAAGTGTGGAAGGGAACTATTTAGGGAAGGTAGAAAAATATTCAGACACACTCATAGTTCACACAGTCTCTGAAATAAAATGAGCGCATGTAAAATGTCAATGTAAATTCGTAAAATGTCCTGACCTGTTTGTGTAGTGGTCCCTATCCATCTACAAGGGATTTAACCACAACTCTAGAAACACTCACAGTCCCTGCCTAGAGAGGACAGGTTAACGCATTCTGCAGGCCTGTCAATTCCCTTCTCTCCTCCTTGCTAAATGAGCAGTGTACCGGCCTGGCTTGGAGAACAGGTCTACTATGAGTTCTGCAGCCTTTATATGGGTGCAGATTGTTGGGTGTAGAAATGTCTGACTCACATCCAAAGGGCAAATAAGGAGAGAACGCTGCTGCTGTCCTCCCTGTCCTGGCTGCTAGATTGGGTTTTCTGCTCCATGTGGGAGGAAGCTGTTTCTGGAATACACATGAAGAATACAGTGGGTCTCTTTGACCATAGTGGGTAGTTTGGATAGGAGAGGGTTGAGTGTGGTCTCTCTATGGAGAGTAGGTATACGTGGCTGGTAGTGGGCTTGGAACTGGAGGACAGTCTGTGGGTTTGCAAAAAAGAAAAGGAGTACTTGTGGCACCTTAGAGACTAACACATTTATCTGAGCATGAGCTTTCGTGAGCTACAGCTCACTTCATCGGATGAAGTGACACATCCGATGAAGTGAGCCGTAGCTCACGAAAGCTCATGCTCAGATAAATGTGTTAGTCTCTAAGGTGCCACAAGTACTCCTTTTCTTTTTGCGAATACAGATTAATACGGCTGTTACTCTGAAGTCTGTGGGTTATGTGTGGAGTGCAGCTGACTGAGGTCGCCTATTTTGGGAAGGTTTATGATGCAGGAGGAGTGGGTATTGGACACCGGCAGATTGAAGCTGGCAAGCGCAAGAGCTGAGTTGCTTTTAGAATGCGTGTTGTGATATTTGAATATTTCTCTCTCGTGTTTTAACTGTGGCATTCCTTGGCTTGCACAGGCTTCAGCTTTATTGGTCTGATAAAGTTTGTTGTCAGTTAATAATTGCACACACAATGTAGGTTACAGCCATTTGGCTTTTACTGCTTCGCATACAGTATGTAGCCAGCCTAAAACGTCCCAAGGAGAGGTCCTGGGGGAGGGGGCAGGGGAAGAAGGGTGCTAGCTTCTCAGCTCAGCTGATCAGGAGTGGAAAGGCACCCTTGGGACTCATTTAATCCCATACAAAATATTAAATAGCAACTTTTCCAAACCCAGAGCAGGAAAGCAGTTGTGGGGAGACTGCTCTGATGTGGAATGGGCCATTCCGAGTCTTTCTGGGCCCCAAGCAGTGAGGATGGAAACCCTGATGCTGCAATACAAAAAATGTTCTTAGACATGCAAAAAGGCCCATGTATTTTCTGAACAAATGACACTGCATGAAAGAGTGAATGTAAGTGGAGCTGATTTGGAGCGTGACTTTCTCAAGAAATTCTGCTGGATTGGGAGTATTGAAGGCAGAGAATCTCTAGCTGCATGTTGAATCAGTAAAAAACAAATGCAAGTGATTGGCTGAAGGAAGAATTGACAGACCTGGCGGATGGAGCAAGAAGAAGGAACCTGAGGATAGTGGGTCTCTCTGGAAGAGAGATCACAGATGATGTGCTTTCTTTTATCCGTAACTTCCTCAAGGAAATCTGGGCTGCGTCAGAACAAGCTCAGTACAGCCTCCTGCTGTTTAAACCACTGGAGCAGGGAGCAGGACTCAGTGTTGTAACAAAGAAAATTAATTCACAAAGTGACAAAGAAAGAAGTGTCTTCAAAAGTCGCGTGTGTCCCTCTTGTCTAATAAGGCAGGCTGGTGACCAGCCCTGCAGGGTGAGCACACTCAGTGAGGCTGATGCCAGCATTTGGGATCTTTGGTCCATGGTTCAGGTATTTCAAGAAACAAAAGAAGCCCAGACTGCACATACTCTGCAACTGTGTTCTGAGCGCCAAAGCCTCAGGTTTCTCACCCCCTCCCCCCTCCTCCTGCAATCCAAGGTTCCTCTTGCATCCAGGGATACTGGTGGTATTAAACAATGAGAGCAAGGGTGGCATCTCCATGCTCTGTCCGTCCACCTTTGTGTGCATCTGGAGGGCAGGTTCATCTGATGGAAGGGAATTTGATAAATCTGACTTTTGGCCTCCCCCAATCTCTTTTCCTGCCCCCTTGGTCCAACAGCCTCTGCTGGTTATTACTTCCCCAGTTTCTTCTCATGTTTCAGCCAGTTTACATTTCTACAAGCACATCGGGAGGGCTTCTCTCATGATTGAAAATAACCCCTCACCATGTTGTAGGAGTCTCTGGTGTCTGACCTGTTACAATACTTCATCAGCAAGGGGAGCTTATGGCTGACTGTCTACAGTGAATTTTCCCATCATCCCTTGGAGAGGGAAGCCCGAGTGTGGTGTGTATGGACAATGCAGATGTTTTATCGTTAACGTTGGTTAGGGCTGAAACTGCTTGAAGAAGTTACGGGATGTTAGAGAGACCCTGGCAGGTTAAATAAACCCACCTGCTCTATGTTACTAGGAAACCAGAGATCCTGGAAGCCTGCAGGAGTTTTTAAAATCTATCTTTTCAATGTGCTGTTCACATCTCTGGCCTCCCTCCCCTCTGAGCCAGGGGAACACAGCACTGGTCAGAGGGTCCTGCTGGAATGGAGGGGGACAAAGGGGCCTCAAATTCTATCGTAGCAGGGGTATCACTTGCCCAGGAAACGGCTCACCATGCGGGTGGCTGGGCTTATGCAGGCAGTTTCTGTTTGTTGGGTCAACCTCTCCAGCTGGGAGAGGTCCTCACAGCAGAGCCAGGTCTGAATAAGGAATGAACTGGTTACTGAGGGTCCCAAACGCGTGACTCCACCCTGGCCAGGTTCCCTTGGGGTGCCCAGCCCCAGCAGGTTATGGAATGTTGCCTGGTCTGCCCTGGTCTGACACACCTGCCGTCCAGTAGCCACTGGCTATGGCAGACTCGCCTGCTGGAGTGGCCTGCACCACTGTCAGCAGGGGAGAGTCTCACTTCTCCTTCTGTTCCTTTGCAGAGCCCTGTTTGACTATGACAGGACCCGGGACAGCTGCCTGCCGAGCCAGGGGCTCAGCTTCTCCTATGGGGACATTCTGCATGTTATCAATGCCTCAGATGATGAGTGGTGGCAAGCGAGACTAGTGACCCCCCACGGAGAAAGTGAGCAGATTGGGGTCATCCCCAGCAAAAAAAGGTGAGTGTCGTTGCAGCAGCCCTGTTCCCCTCTCCCCATTCTCCACAATGGATCTGGCCAAGCGCAGGGACTGCACCTATGTGGCATTGCATGGACCTGCTCCAGCTGCTAGGAGCCATCGGTGGTGGTGATGCCAGTGACTCCCACCCCCAATTGTATGTGTGACACCCTCACTGGCAGCTGCCAGGAGGCGGCTCTCACTGGTCCCCCGTGGGGCTGTGCACCATCAAGGTCGGGGCGAATATGAAGCAGGGGTTGGTGATAGGTCTGCAGTGAGACCCTTTCTCCTGAAGTGACCTGGATTGTGACTTCCCTGAAGAGCAGCTGAGGAGACGAGAAGAGCAGTTGGTCCTGTTCAGCCGGATGAGAGTCTGGCTCTGCCATGGTTGAAAACTGGGGTTGGGGAGTCCCCAGCCTTGCTAGCCCTGAGGAGCTCAAGACCCCTGATACCTGAGCCATGCAGCCTGTGCCTTGTACCACTGAGGATCTGTCTGTGAGCCAGGTCCCATCCAATGTAAAACCACAGAGCCCCGAGAGAGGAGGAACCAGCTAACCACCAGCTCTGCTTGTGGTTTCTGTGGGTTTAATGTTGAAAGAGATGCTGGGGTGTGTGAGACAGGAGCAAGGTTTCACTTCCCTCTGTCGCCGGGCAGAGGGGTTGGAACGTGCAGGTGCCGGTGGGTACAGGTGAGCTCTGCTTGCTGCAGGGGCAGTGCCCAATTCTTGCTGGCAGAACCGGATCTGCCTGCTGCGGGGAGGGGAGGGTCCTGGTCTGCAGAGACTGAGAATGTCCTTTGGGCAGCTTTCCAGTGTGACGGGATGAAGGCCTGGGACAAAATTCAGCCTCTCTAGTGGAGCTTGCTCCCCGGGCAGCCTCTGCACACGGGAGGGTGGTGACCTAGCATAAATCCCATTCCTAGTTCCAGGGGGACCAGCTGAGGGGAGGGGAGAGGCTTTCTGTGTCCTCACCCTGATCCCTCGTAGAGGCAAGCTGTTCTGCTGTGTGCCTCTGTGCGACATGTCTGTCTATCAATTCATCCATCTGTCCTTCCTCGGGAGTGCCTGGAAAGGGGCAGCCCACACCCTCTCCTTCCCCCTGAGGGGCTCTTTATATAGGGCACACTCTTCAGCTGATCAGCTTATTGAGGGCTGGGCTCCCCACTGGCTCCTCTCCCCTCCAGATTCCTGGCGCTGGTTAGACTCATGACAAGCTGCCTGATCAAATCGCTGCTAACAGCAGAAGCTGCTCAATTTGCCCAGAGCTGCCTCCAAGTGTTCTCTCCTTACAGGTGGCATGGTCAGGTGGTTTGGGTGCCAGAGGGAGCTTTAGTCCCTGGATGCGGCGGTGACCATTGGGGTGCAGAGGTGACCCTCTGCCCTTTGCTGCCCACCAATGTAGCTCATCAGGCACCGTATGGAGAGGACCAGGGCAGGGCAGCGAGCTGCACACACATGAACTAGGGCTTTCTCTCATTTGACTTTAATCAGGGTGGAAAAGAAGGAGCGTGCACGATTGAAAACAGTGAAGTTCCATGCCCGGACTGGGATGATTGAGTCCAACAGGGTAAGTGCCAGAGCAGCGGTGCCCGGGATGGCCTGAGGCGGTAGCTAGAGGGGCCAAGGAGCATCCGAGGCTAATGTTGTAATGCTTCTCACTTGGGAAGATAGGCAGAGCATTCCTGAGTAGAGAGCAGCTGAGACCAGTTGGACTCAAGTTGTGTGTGGCTGGGCTGCCTCTTAGGCTTCTGTTCAAACTGCACAGCAGATCCCCTCCTGGGCTGCATGGGTTTTGGCTACAAATCTACAGAGCTGGCAGCCTGGGATGGCCAGGCCATTTGGACAAAGACACTCGAGTGTGTAGCAGAACCTCCCTATGACACTGTGTGTGACCCCATAAGCTGGTGTTCAAGCCCTAGATTGCTTGTGAACAAAAAGTGTATCACAAAACACCCTAGCTGGGTGGAGCTGACTTCAGACCTTCTTGCACAGGCGCTTGTGACTTCCCTACAACGGGTGGCTGGAGGTCAGAGCCTTGCTGCTTAATAAACAACACTTCAGGCAAGGAAGGGGGCTTTTAGGGACATGGCCTTGCTCCTGTGGAAAGCGGATTGGGTAGTCAACCTTCCAACATCCCTACAACATTTTTCTCTACACTTAATTTTTCTCCTGCATTATAGTTTCCATGTAATCTCCATGATTTCATTTGAGGGTGATTGCCCTGCCACAGATCCTCATTGTCTCTTCATTTTAATTTTTCGTGCATGCGTTAAACGCCATTTGTTTTTTCTGTCCTCCCTTCCATCTCCATGTTCTTCACAGTCGATCAAAACGAAACGTAAAAAGAGTTTCCGCCTCTCCCGAAAGTTTCCATTTTACAAGAGCAAAGAGAACCTGGCCCAAGAGAGCAGCGGACAGGAACGTAAGTAGCCGCTGGCCAGAGAGGGCAAAGTGTGCAATCCCCACCCAAACCCCAGCACCTGCTCCCTGTGTGGCAAGCTGGACTGAGTGCATTTCCCTCGGCAAAGAGCCTCCATTCAAAATAGCTGGGAATCACCTTGTATTGGGCCAAACAGCATGACTCTGCCCTTTGAGAACTGTTCTGAGAGCCTTCTCATTTGGAACTGGCTCAGCAAGCAGATAGAGGCAGGATGGGACTTGCTGTGGGACCAATGGGTCCCTCTGAAACTGCTTACCAAGCTCTGGCTGTACCTCCCAGAGTGTCCCAGTGGCTTCCCACCCATATTGAGAGACAGACCCAGAGCCTGCAATGGCTTCCCAAGCTCAGGAGACTCAAATGGAGTGTTGCCTCTTCTCCCGCTGCATAGCAATGGTGGAAGCGGAGATCCTGCCTTGCCCTCTCCTCCGAAGCTGTTCCAGGTACAGTGGCACTCAGGCTGAGCTCTGGCCATCACAGCCATGGCTGGCATTATAGAGAGAGCATAGAACAATGCGTGTCACTGGGCAAAGCCAACCCCGGCCTGTCTGCCTGTAGAGAAGGGGACGTCTCTCCTACCTGCCTCATCCCTTCCCTAGTGCTCAACTCCCAGCCATAGGTGCTATGTCAGCAAAACTGCCTCTCCCAGCTGCTGCCAGTCTAGCTGCCTCTGGCCATGGCCCAGGATTTCTGTCCAGCCTCTGGGCGATGGAGACCTACCTGGCACATTCTCAGTTGTTTGGTGTTTTCATCCTTTCACAACTTCTCAGGACGTGATCAAACCTCTACTCTGCCTTTCTCTGCTCTCCCTGATGTGCCAGGGGCTCTGCCTTCCCCCACTCTCCCCCTAATGTGCTCTCGGGGGGGCTCTGCCTTCCCCCGCCCTCAGAACAAGGTGAGGGAATATGGTGCTCAAAGGCTCGTGTTTAATGTTGTAAATGGGCAGGTGTGAGAGGGTGCAGCCCTTTGTCCCACTCCTGGAATTGGGAAACACCCTTGCTGTCTATGGTGAGAACCTGGCAGTGCTCATCTGCACGAACCCGTTAGGAGTAGTGAATCCAGCCACCTTTTGTTATGTGACCATCTGCTCCAGAAGCACCTCTGTGGGCAAATCACTGTGGCCTGCAGAGCTGTCCTGTGCCTGGCTCCCTTTCTGGAGGAATTCCAGCTGCCTGCAGAGACAGCTGCACGTTCCGTAGTGTGTCTGGCTCCTGGAGGGACGGCTCCATTTCCCAAGAGGATGGTAAGGCATGAACCCCTGGCTGGCAGCTTCATTGCACTCTCCCTGTTGGAAGGTCACATCTATTCATGGCGTCTCGCCCATCCCGCTTCCCACATGGCGCTAGGAAGCTCCACGTGAGGACAAACCCTGGCTGGGGCCATGCTCTGATGGTGGATGGCTGTGATCCAGGGCCTCAGCTCTGACACCCCTGGCAAATCCCCTATGTTGAATGGAGGGTGTTCAGAGTGGGGCAAATGGAGCAGAGAACCAGGACGGTCAGAGGCTCCCTCTTCCCCCCCCCCCGCAGCACGTTCTCTACAGAGCAACAGTTGAACTGAGCATGTGTTAAAAAGTCAGTGTGGTGAAAACTGCACAGTGTCTGGGAGCAAAGGGCTATGCACTCCGGCTTAGGAAAGCACAGTCTATTTGAATCAGAGAGATGCGTGTGGACCACGGTCCTCTGAGGAGCTGAAGGGTTTAACATGCAAACCGCCTACGACGTACTCCTACAGAAGGACTTGCTGGCTAGTGAGCCACTGAGGGAGGTATTCCTAACCTGCGCTGTCTTTCCTCTGCACTTGCTACACATCATCCGCTGTCAATAATACATTGGGTGCTTTGTCGGCAGCTGTGGTCCTCACAGGTGGGAGAGGAGGCAGGGCCAGGCAGAGCAAATCCACCTGCCATGCTGTATTCCCATGTCATGGTGCACTGCTCTGAATGGTCTCTGCTCTGCGGCTCAGTGCAGTTGGGGCCAGGGACAAGAGCCTGTCCGCACACTGCCTGCATGGTGTCTCGCTTCACTGGCACAGATCTCCCTCTGGTGTGTTTATGGAGAGAGTAGCCAGATTGTCAAATGAGTTCAGTACCCAGCCTGCTGCGCTTTTCTGAAAATCTGGCTCTGGGTAAGTCCAGCACGCCCCTTGTTCCTTCCTGGGCCTGACTTCAGCCATAAAAGCTGTGTGTGCACCTGCATACTCCGAGGCCTCGGGGGTAGGATGGTTGGTGATTTGGCTGCCCAGTGCACTTGCTAGATGCATCTGCCTATGTGTGGTTGCAGGTGTCAGAACTAAGGTCAGCCAGACCCGAACTGCACTGGCTGAATGAATATACAAACCCTCCTTGGGAGGGAGGGCCCCTCTCTCGGCTCCCCCACTTTGCCAGCGACTTGTTAAGTCCCAGCGCCCCCTCTGCTCAGGGTACACAGCTGACAGTGCACCAACGTGCCTGGGACCAGTAGTTGTAGGGATTGGTGGGGGAGTTGGAGAGTCCCTGGGGAGGGGGCTTGGCTTGCTGCTTTCCCTCCTGGAAGGGTTTGTGGTCTGGGGTCGTTGGGGTGGGTGGTGGCTTGCTTGTAGAGGGTGGAACATAACTGAATTCATGACTAAAGGGGATTCACTACCTGCCTCTGGGCTCTCTAACGTCTTTTTTGAGGGCCCATTCTCTGCCAGCTCCAGGTTAGCATGTACTCACGGTGTGGGGTGAGGACAGGCTGAAATGGGACCCCACTCCCTGTCTAGTTCCTGTTATAGGTAGAAACTTGCAGCCAGTCTCCCTCCCTTGAAATGCTTCACAGCACTTGACTAAATCTGCTTGTGGAGTGCTGGTCAGGGAGCAGAGTCCTTCCCCTGCGTGCTCCGCATGTGGAAATGTTGGGATATGGGGAGCTGAAGCAAAGACCTGCAGAGGAGTTTGAAGTGCTCCTCAGCCCTTCCAGGGAAGCTGAAAGGCTCCACCTGGGACTGTACTAGAGAGTGGGTGTGGGCAGAGGGCTCTGGAGCACGGACGATCCCTCAGACACCTGGAGTGGGAGATGAAACATACCTGGTCTTCACCAGTCCATCAAAAAGCTGAGTGAGCCACAATCTTGGGAAGGCCTCCTCTCAACTTGCCAACAGCACCTCTGGAATTGGAGCAGCTCACTCAGGAGGGTGGAGAATGTGTTAGCCTGCTCCAGGAGGCCAACTGTTCCTCAGTGAGCGCCTTCCAGAGTGCATTCAATGAGCAGGTAGCCTGAGAAGGAGTCTGGCACACTGGTACCATTGGTCTCTGGGCTGTGGTTTTGGCACGGCTGCCCTTAGCCCTGTGGGGGCTGGTTGAAGGCCCTGAGATGGCCATTGGCTGGGCGAGAGAACACTGCTCAGCTCCGCAGTGCAAAGGCTGGATGTGTTGCCTGCCCCAGCAAAGACACTTCTGAATTTTGTAACCTCACTTGCAATTGCAGCTCTCAGCTGTTCTGCACTCCTGTCACTAATGCTCACCTGGCTCTGTCTTCTTCCTCTCTTCTCTCTGTCTCTTACTCCCCTCTCTGGCTCTCTGCCCCTTCCTGCGGTCTATGAAATCAGGACTTCCCTGGGTTAAGTGACGATTATTATGGAGCAAAGAACCTGAGTAAGTCTCATTTAAATGCACATCGTTCGCTCTCCATGTTTGGCACTGTGCCTGGGGGGAGGCTGGGATCCAGGCACTGGGAGTGAGTGCTGCTCTTGATGTACAGCACTACGCGCTCTGAAGGCTTTGCTCTTGGTTCTGAGGCTGTGGGTTCCAGTCCCCATCAGTGGAGGTGGAGGGGGCTGGGCTCTGGGGGGAGGGAGAACTGCCCCTTGTGCCTGCTCACGTGGAGAGTTAGAATTCCCTAATCCTGCCCTGACTGTGCCCCGTCCCTCCAGTTTGCAGGGTGAGCTGCTCTGTTTCCTCTTGTTAGACTGATGGTCACAGCTGGAGCTTGGATCCGGCTGACTCCCTGGTTTAATGCCAGCCCAGATGAGTTAGTGTCAAGCCTGCCCTGGAGACTGCTGCTGGCATGCAATCAGGGACAAGTGACCTGGCCTGCAGGCACTTCACAAAGCAGGTAGCTGCGTCTTTAAGTGCTACCTGCCTGCTCTCCGTGCCAGGTGCTTGCACATGTACCCTGAGCTGTGGAACTGCTCCTCTTCCTGACTCACTGACTCCCTTTGGGGAGACAATCTTCGCAGCTTCCAGTTAGAGGCCAGCTTTATGCAAGCAGTCCTATGGCTGCCCACACCTTAGGGACCAGCGCAGCCCCATGCACCTGGGAGCATGCAGCCAGGGGGAGGTGCAGGCCAAGTGAGTGACCCAGCTTCTGCGGAGGGGCCGCAGCATTGGAAATGGCCTAAACAAGCAAGGCCCCGAACTCTGTTCCGTCTTGTCAGTGTCTTGTCTCTGTGAGTCTCTCTCCTCCCTCCCACCCCCTGGCTGGTTGGCCCTTGTCAGACTTGCACTTTGCTTTAGGGTTTGTGCTAGTGTATCCATGTGCTACGGCAGCTTCCCTCCTCCACTCCCCCTCCCTGCATGACACCTGGCCCAATGGGGACTCTCAAACTGAAACTTGACTGGACAGCTGGCAGGGCTCTGCCCCATGCACCACCCCTCTCTGTGTGGGTTTATGCTGTATCCTCAAGGGGGGCCAGTTCCCTGCTCTTGGAGATGATGCAGGATGAGGCCTAGTGCATTACCTGGGGAGGCCATTACTACTGCCAGGGCAGAGCTGTTCACGCTGAGTTGCTTTCCGTTCCTGTGCACTCTGCCTGGGGAAAGGGAACCCAGTTAGCTGTGAGCTCGTGCCTACTGGCTGCGGAGAAAGCCCTGCCTCCGGCATTCACATCTTCTCCCTTTCACGCTCGTGAAAGTGCCCCAGACATAGTTAACTGGATTTCCCTGTTGAAGCTACTGACTGAAGGACCCTGAAATGAACCTCCTACAGTGATGCCCTACATCTGGAAATGCCAGTTCTAATGCAGGAGTAAGGGATGGGGGCTGAATCTGTGAGAGGAGTCTCGCTGGGTCCACAGGCTGCCATCGGCTGTGGGGGCCCCAAGGCTGTGCTCGCCCATGCCCTCTACCTGTGTCCTGTGGCCACTAGCATTCGGTGACTGTCTGTCTCCTACCCCATGTGCCCTTCGTGAGTTCCTGGCTGCAGGTGTTCTGAATTGGCGTCTTTTTCTTGTTGGTTTGCAGAGGGCGTGACATCAAACACCAGTGACAGCGAGAGCAGTTCCAGTAAGTGTCTTTCTCTCCTGCTGTCTCTCACCTCTGTGTCTCTGTGTGTGTGTGTGTGTGGTGTTCTAAGCATTTTCACTCCTCTGTTGTCCCCATGATGTTTCCTGTTCGGAGGCCGATGCTTCCTTTGGCCACTCGAACTGAAGGTCCTAGAGATGTTGTGACCAGCTCCCTCGAGGGGTTGGGAGCTTTTTACCAGGGCCGGTTAGCAGTATCCCTAGTGTCAGCGATGGGATGCAGGGACATGGGTGCCATGAGGTGTTAAGGTTCACTTTTGGACCTGTCCCAGCAGAGGATTCTGCCCCCAAGCACTCTGGCTTTGGGGTGCCCCGTGGCTCCTGTGTCCTGACTTCCAGCCCCTGGGATAACACCCCATAGGTCTTGGAAAGCTTGTGCTCAGAGAGGAAGATCTCTACCAGCTGCTAGCGCTCTGCAGCCCATCTACAGCACAAGCCCTGCAGGGGGACTAACAGCTTCTGCTGCAGCCATAACGCGCATTCTGCCCGAGGCGTCTCTCTCCTCCTGTGACAAAGCTGCAGCTGCACATCTGACGCTTCCAGCTAGGAACTGCTGCTGCCCCACCATGTCCCCAGTTTGCCCTGCCGGGATGCTCTGAACCGAACATGCTGGTGGTGGTGGTCAGGCAGCTCAGAAGGGCCGAGCACAGAGCCGAAGCAGTGTGTGTAATGAGGGCAGTGTCCCCAGCACCTTTCCTCCCCCAAGGCTTCAAACAGCCAGCACCCAGCAGGAAGGGAATTTGGTGCCAGGGATCCAGGGTCTCTGGAGTGTCCCCACAGAGCAGATGGTCTCCCCGCACACGGAGAGGAATGGGTTCCATACAGCTAGCCAGAAAGGATGAATGGCTGAGTTGGTCCTGCTTGGCTCTGAGCCCAGAAAGTGGCTATTCCAGGTGTCGTTCAGCCCGGTAACCCAGAGAGCAGTCAGGCTGTGGAATAGGATCCTCAAAGCAGATAGCGGCCAGGTTGCCCCTCTGGGCTGGAGGGAGTCATGGGAAGGGGAGGACTCTTGGTCTTTAGGCTGGGTCACAGCCTGCAGAAAGAGTGCCCTCTGGTGTTTGCACAAGTATTCCAGACAAACAGCCATGAAGCAAATGTGTGACCAAGTCATGGGCCAGCTGGGCTTAGAGTGCAGCCCCACCTGCTAGCCACAGACTAGCCTTTGGGTTGGCTGCAGGAGCAGTGTGATGGGAATGGCTCTCGCTCACGTACTGTTGGGTCTTCCTGGGACAGTCGGAATGGAACACCGCCCTGAGACAGTCCTGGTCAGGAGCAGCACTCCAGGCTGGGACTCTCCTGTGAACTTTGCTGTCTGGTGGGGCGGGCAACCCAGAGGCCTTTGGGGCACTTCTGTGTGTGGTGGCTCCTGGCTGGTTATTGCCTTCATGCTGCTTTCTGGTGGCAAAGGGTTGAGGCAGGAGAGGCGCCTGCAAACACTTACCTGCTTCTCCCTGGCTCTATTCCAGAAGGACAAGAGGACACTATCCTGTCATATGAACCAGTGACACGGCAAGAAAGTAAGTATGGGATGAGGTCTGGAGTGTGCGGTGGTCTTGAGTCCCAGCTCTACAGCGTGTGGTGGTGTTGAGAAGTGTCTACACACAGCTAGCGGACACTGCTCATGACATGCCTCTTTGGTAAATGGCAAACGCTTGAAACGCTGGCTCTGAAACCGCCATTGCTAAAAATGTAACGCCCTCTGCCCTGCGCCAGCCCAGCCCTCTCTGCTCTGCCGTTCCAGAGCCTTGGGTCCTCCTTGGACCAAGTGCCCGCCTTCACCACAGGCCACCCACACACTCTGTCTGATCCATGCCCCAGCCATGCTGCCCCTCGTGACTGCGTCGGGTTGAGTGCCTGGGGCCGGAGGCTGGGAGGGCCCATTTCTTTTTAAAACACCTAGCACGTTGTTGGTGCTTCATCTGTACCAACTTGAGGCAGCTGTTCACCCGTGAGCGGCAGTTCGCTGGTCCCCCAGCCAGAGATTAGCATGTCATAATCTCCAGACACGAGGGGCATAAGTGCCAGCAGCATGCCTGTGGAGAAGAGGTGCATTCCTCCCCTGCAGCTTGCGGGCCACTGTTCACCACGATCCCGGCTGGGGTCAGCCTCCCGCACTTGTCTGAGCAGCTGTGGTGGAAGGGCTTGGGAAGAGGGGTGTGTTGAGGCAACAATTCGGGTGCTCTAACGGAGGAGCGAACGTGGAAGTGCACGTGGAGGCACATAGGAGAAGAGGTAATAAGCACTATTGTGTTCTGCACCATTTGCCTCTTTGTGCGTGTTGCTGATGCACTCTGTGGGCTGAGCCCAAAGACAAGTCCCTGGAAGCTGTTTCCGTGTGCATGAGAAAGGTGTCCTTGTTCTAGAATGAGAAGGGTTCTGTCCTTGGGTAGACTTGGAGCTTTGCTGAGCTTAGTCCCCACTGCAGGAAAAGGGCCTTCAGTATTTCCACAGACCACAAGCGTGAGTGCTGTGTGAATGGCCGTGGTGTATTGACCACAAGTATTCTGGAGCCACATGGCCCACTCCAGGCTTCAGCGAGTGTGGGAGCAGCTACTAGGATCAGAGACTTGGCCTCAGGGTCGTGGCTTTTCTTGTTTCCAGTTCACTATGCGAGGCCAGTGATCATCCTGGGGCCAATGAAAGACCGAGTCAACGATGACCTCATCTCCGAGTTTCCACACAAGTTTGGCTCCTGTGTGCCACGTAAGTGTTGGTGTTTGTGTGTGTCTCTGGGGTGGTGAGTTAGTGATCCAGTGCAGCTCTGGGCAGCCGCTGTTTCTCCTGCCTGCTGCATCTGAGCCATGTGGTGGCGAAGAGAGGCAAGGTAGGGTTGCTGTCGGTGCGGGCTGAGCTTTGGAGGAGGGAAGGTGCCTGGTTGCGGTGGGCTCTGTCTCATGAAGCCCCCCTCTCTTTCAGACACTACCAGGCCTCGGCGTGAAAATGAGGTGGATGGGCAGGACTATCACTTTGTTGTATCCCGAGAACAGATGGAGAAAGATATTCAGGACAACAAGTTCATAGAGGCTGGGCAGTTCAATGACAATCTCTATGGGACCAGTATCCAGTCGGTGCGGGCAGTTGCAGAGAGAGTGAGTGTAAATGTGGAGGCAGTGACACTGCTCCAGGGAAGCCCACAGCTCACCCAAATGATTTCTGACCTTCTCGCGCCTGCATCCATTGTCTATGTAACTGTATGTGCAGAAAGAGCCAATTGGACAGGGATTCCTGCCAAGCCGTGTGGCCTTGTTCCAGAACCCCAGACTGCCCAGTGCTCTGCCGCTAAACCCACCCACCCTCCCCAGGCAGGAGTCCTGCAGAACTCAGGCCTCCTAAGCCACCGGGCTACCAAGGCCACCATTAGCAGCACCAGTGCCTGCTTTATCTTCACAAGCACTGGTGCAAGGGTTCTTCGCAGTGGGTAGAACAACAGAAATGCTCTGTGCTCAGAGCATGACAGAGCCCATTGCTGGTTTGTAAACAATGTCCTGAATGTTGAAAAGAAGCCCCCGTCCCTTCTCCTGGGTGCTGCCACCTGCCCAAGTTGGGGGCCCACGCTGGGGTTTGGCATGTTCCATCCCTCGTCCTCCTGCTCCAGGCTGCTTTCAGAGAGGGAAAGCCAGAGGTAGGTGTGACTGAATGACGCTGGTCCCCTCTTGTGCCCTGCCAGGGGAAGCACTGCATCCTGGACGTGTCTGGCAACGCCATCAAGAGGTTGCAACAAGCACAACTTTACTCTATTGCCATTTTCATCAAGCCAAAATCCATTGAAGCTCTCATGTAAGTGCATATTTGCCACCTACCCCTTGGGTCTGCTAGCTGCAGGGACCAGGAGCCTGCACTCCTGTTGCTTCTAATTCAGAAAAGGGGTGGGGGAAAGGCTGCTACTGTCACGGGCATAGAATCACAGAAATGTCAGGCTGGAAGGTACCACAAGAGGTCATCTAGTCCAGCCCCCTGCACTGAGGCAGGACCAGAGATACTTAAGAGCATCCTTGACAGGTGTTTGTCCAACCTGTTGTTAAAAATCTCCAATGAAGGGATTCCATGACTTTCCGTGGGATCCTATTCCAGAATTTAACTATCCTCTGAATTAGAAAGTTTTCTCAGTGGAGAGAGGTAAATAGCGGTGTCCCCCAGTCCTGGGACCAGTCCTATTCAACGTGTTCATAAATGATCTGGAAAAAGGGGTAAACAGTGAGGTGGCAAAGTTTGCAGACAATACAAAATTACTCAAAATAGTTAAGTTCAAAGCTGACTGCGAAGAGTTACAAAGGGATCTCACAGAACGGAGTGACTAGGCAACAAAATGGCAGATGAAATTTAGTGTAGATAAACGTGAAGTAATGCACATTGGAAAACATAATCCCAATTATACATACACAATGATGGGGTCTAAACTAGCAGTTACCACTCAAGAAAGAGATCGTGGAGTCATTGTGGATGGTTCTCTGAAAACATCTGTTCAATGTGCAGCAGCAATCAAAAAAGCGAACAGAATGTTAGGAACCAATAGGAAGGGGATAGATAATAAAACGAAAATGTCATATTGCCTCTATATAAATCCATGGTACGCCCACATCTTGAATACTGCATGTAGATCTCTGCGCCCCATCTCAAAAAAGATATATTAGATGTGGAAAAGGTGCAGAGAAGGGCAACAAAAATGATGAGGGGTATGGAACAGCTTCCATATGAGGAGAGATTAAAAGCCTGGGGCTGTGCAGTTCAGAAATGAGATGGCTCAGAGGGGTGTGATGGAGGTCTATACAGTCATGACTGGTGTGGAGACAGTGAATCAGGAAGGGTCATTTTCTCCTCCTCATAACACATGAACAAGGGGTCATCAATGGATTCAATAGGCAACAGTTTACAACAAACATAAGGAAGTACTTCACTCAAAGCACAGTCAGCCTGTGGAACTCCTTGCCAGGGGATGTGAAGGCCAAAACTATAACTTGTATAATTCAATAAAAGTATAATTCACAAAAGAATTGGATAAATTCATGGAGGATAGCTCAATCAATGGCTATTAGCCCAAGATGGTCAAGGATGCAATCCCATGCTCTGGGTGTCCCTAGTCTCTGACTTCCAGAAGTTGGGACTGGATGATGGGATGGACCACTCAATAAATTGCCCTGTTCTGTTCATTCCCTCTGAAGTATCTGGCACCAGCTACTCTCAGAAGACAGGATACTGGGCTAGATGGACCATTGGTCTGACTAAGTACAGCCATCTTTATGTTTGTACATTCTGAAAGTTTTTCTGAAATTTTCCTTGCTGCAGTTTAAGACCATCGCTACTTAACCGATGGACATGGAGAACAATTGATCTCCATCCTCTTTGTAATATCCCTTCGCATATTGTTACCAGGATCTCCATTAGTCATCTTTCCTTAAGACTAAACAAGCCCAGTTTGTTCAACCTTTCTTCACAGATCAGGTTTTCTAGCCCTTTTATCATTTTGTTGCTCTACTCTGGACACTCTCTAATTTGTCCACATTTTTTTAGGTATTGTGCCCAAAACTGGGCAGAGTACTCCAGTTAAGGTCTCACAGAGCCATGTAATCCAGGCCAGTTACTTACCATGTCTTTCTTATGACCTTAGCTTTTTTCACAACCACATCACATTGACTTGTGTTCAATTAGTGATCCAGCCCCCAGATCCTTTTCAGCAGTGACACCACCTGCCCCGTTATAACCATATACTGTCCGTTTGGTTTTCCCTTCCGGAGTGTAATACCTTACACTTTTCTTTACTGAATTTTTCTTGTTGATTTCAGACTAGTTCTCCAATTTGCAATGGTCCTTTTGAATTCTAATCCTGTCCTTCAAAGTGCTTGCAGCCCCTCCATGCTTGGTGTCATCTGCAGATTTTTATGAGCATATTTTACTCTCCATTATCCAAGTCATTCATGAAAATATTGAATAGTACCAGACCCAGGGCTGACCCTTGCAGGACTCCACTGCATATGTCCCTCCCAGTTCGACAGTGAACCATTGAATGCGGTGTTTTCAACCAGTTGTACACCTATCTTATATTTAATTTCATTTATACCACATTTCCCTAGTTTGCTTTTGAGAGTGTCATCTGAGAGAGTGTGCCAAGTGTCTTACTAAAATCAGGATATATCACTTGTACTGCTTTCCCCTATCCACTAGGCCAGGTACCCCATCAAAGGAAATTAGGTTGGTTTAGCATGATTTGTTCTTGATAATATAACCCCATAATTGTCTAGGTGCTTACAAATCGATTTGTTATAGTATATACCCCGGTATCGAAGATAAGGTGATTGACTACTCTATACTTCCCTGGGTCCTCTTTGTTCCCCCGTTTAAAGACAGGTACTATGTTTGCCCTTCTTCGATCGTCTGGGATCTCACAAGTCCGTCATGAGTTCTAGAAGATAATTGCAAATGGTTCCAAGTTCGCTTTAGCTGGTTCCTAAAGTACCCTTGGGTGAATTTCATCAGGCCCTGCTGACTTGAATACAGCTAGCTTATCTAAATATTCTTTAACCTGATCTTTTCCTATTTTGTTTTGTTCCTTCTCCATTGTTTTTAATATTAATTGTGTTAATTATCTGGTTGTAGTTTACCTTTTTAGTGAAGACTGAATCAAAATAGGCAATTAATACCTTGGCTTTCTTCACATCCTTTGTTAGCTCTCTTTACCCATTAAGTAGAGAACTTACACTTTCCTTCACCTTTCTTTGCACCTAATGTATTTAAAGAACCTCTTCTTTCTGCCTTTTATGTCCCTTGCTAGGTGTAACTCATTTTGTGCTTTAGCCTTTCTGATTTTGTCGCTACAGGTTTGTGCTATTCTTTTGTACTCTTCATCCGTGTTTCCAGTTTTTGTAGGATTCCTCTTTTCAGGTCATTAGAGAGCTCCTGATGGAGTCATCATGACCTTCTCCTATTTTTTCTGTCTTTCCTTCCCATTGGGATAGCCTGCTGTTGTGCCTTAAATACTGTCTCCTTGACAAGCTGCCAGCTCTCCTCAACTCCTTTGTCCCTTTAGATTTTTTTTCCCATGGGACCTTATCTACCAGTTGTCTGAGTTTGTCCTTTGTGCTTATTCTGCTGCTCTCACTCCTTCCTTTCCTTGAAATCATGAAATCTGTCCTTCAACTAATGTCCTGTGGGTGCTCTGCTTCAGGGGCGCCTGTGCCTTGCATCAGAGATTTTTGCTAGCAATGCCCCCACACCCTTGTGCCCTGTGCGGAAAGTATAAAGGGTTGCGTGGACGAACAGCCCTCAGTCTGACCATGTCTACTGGGTGCATGTTCTCTTTAATGGTGAATTTAGCAGTTAGTTAGTATATAGATAGTTCTTTGGTAGTGTTTTATAGTTCTTAGAACAGTTGTTCCCTTTTATCAATTTTTTAAAAGTATTTTATAGATATAAAATCTTTGCCTATTTTTGCTTATTTTGCTCAGAGATGCCGGGCTCCCTGGGATTTAAAAGGCGCTTCTCTCACTGCAAGGCTGTCCTGACCAGTGACGGGCGTTCTTAACGCCTCTGCTGTTTGGGAGACGCTCAGTGACCGCAGCAGAAGTATTAGAAACAAGTGTTATCTATAAAAATAGATCATAATGTGCATTGTAGAACCTACACTTACGGCACTAGCTGCTTTTCTCTCTTACAGAGCAATGGTCCCTCAAAGTTCTTCTAGTGTTTTACACTCAGGCTTGGCTAGGGTTTTAAATAAGTCACACTGTCAGCTTGCCTCCTTGATGAAAGATCCCAGGTGCCAGTCTGCACCTCCAGACAGAACAATCCACTGCCCTTATTTCTAAGCAGGACACCCCCTGCTGACAGTCTTTTCTCTGTACACTCCTTTCTGGTAGATTGTGAAATCTCTTCATCAGCATCTGGCTCCGTGTGCAAATAGGCCTAAATTGGCAGACACAACGCACAATGGCGAGATAAGGAGATAAGCATCTGTTACCCCATGCCTGAAAGGAACCTGTCCGAAACATGTCACCTCCTGGTTACCTGTCTCTTAAAAACATAATTTTCAGTATAGACACACAAATCCTTAAATATGATCCATCCATCCATTTCACAGTGATTGATGACCAGTGGGCTATTGGCTCTCTACAGAGACCTCAGACACCATCCTTTTGCGAATTATATCCAACCCATGGAATCTCTCTAAAACTGTGACTCCTCTGTGCCCTCTGCTAGTTTGCAGTACAAGGTTCTGGGGTCACATGGACTGCAGCAGAAGGCTAGGGATTGCCTGGGCTTCCAGGCATACCTCTGTTTTTTGGGTGAAGATGTTGGTGCTGGAAGGAATTGCTGGAGCTGGAGTTGTATTGCATAGGGCAGCAAGAGAGCATGTGAAGTTAGATACGTTACCCAGTCTCTTGCAACAGAACTCTGTAGCGGCTGCACAGGGCCTAGCTCACCGATGCATGGAGGGTTCCCGGCACTGGTGGTGGCAGTAGCTTTTGGCTTGTTGTTTTAAGTAAAAAGAAACACATTCAGACTGTTCTCATCCATGCCTGGCAGGGAGATGAACCGAAGACAGACGTATGAACAAGCCAACAAGGTCTTTGACAAAGCCATGAAACTGGAGCAGGAGTTTGGAGAGTATTTTACAGGTAAGAGTCCTGGATGGCCAGGAATGACCCCATCAGCCCCACCTTGCTGTCAGGGTCACGGGAAATTGTCCTGCCCCTCCGAAAACAAAAGAAGCAAGAAATGGATACGAGTCTGTGAACGTGGCTTCATGAAGGGGTCCTTCAGCTATCCGGAGGTAATGGCAAACCTGCCCTGGAGATGCAGAGGGAGGCAGCCATACAGGATTCTCTGAAATGCTGAAGGCAGCAAGGAGAAAGGGGGCCACTAAACAAGCAAGACTTAACGAATGCTGCTGAAGGGCTGCATAGGACCATGGATTTCAGCACATGAGGGCAGGGAGCACTAGAGAGAGAAGGTCCATTTAAAAGAGTTGAAGGATGGAATTAGGACTTGATGGGTGAAGACTGAACTGCTTTTTACAGTCTGTCTTCAAGAAAAGCATGGCAGCTTGGCTGCTCAGGAAGAGAAGGAGCATTTGCTGAAGGGCCAGTAAGGGAGTACTTGGCAACTTGTGCCTCCACAGATCAGCTGCCCAGCGCAGCAGGTGTTCTCGCGCGTGAAGGAAAATAGTGGACATGCTGTACCACACAATTATTTCTGGAAAATAATGGGCAGCTTTGGAGGCACCAAGGTTGAAGGGGAGCAAACGTGTTACCAGCTTGACAGGAAAGGAGTGATCCCACCAGTTGCCATTTTGTATGCCTGACTGCTACCCTAGGAACTTTCTCAGCCAAAACACCTGGCAGAGGAGGAGTTCAGGGTAGAATGGGCCAGTTACTGGGAGGTTAAAACCCTCCCCAGAATATTATCCTTTCACAAAGGCGAGCAGGAGAAGCCCAAGGAATTCCCAGTGCTTTTGGGGTTGCTTTTTGATACGCTCATGCCAACAGCTGGGGGAAATGTAGGCAAGGCACACTGTGTCTTTATTTGCTACCAACAGACAGTTTCATGCAGAAAATAAGTTCAGATTGGCTCATTGAGCTGAAAACTTGGGTAAAACCCATAAACAGGGTGCCGATAACTGGGAGCATCTCAAGGAGAGAGAGGTGCCTCTTTGGGAGCAGCAGAGGTTGGAGTTAGGCAGACCTTATTTAGGGATCATGGAGACAGGGTGAGCAGCACATGGGTGATATTCCAGGAGGCTGGAAACATGGGCAGGAAATAATGGAATGGGATTTTGCTGGGCAGGGGAACCCTGGGGAGCGGGAATGGCAGAGTGAGCCCTGCAGCAATAAGGGAGAGCAGATTAGATTATTTTGAAATGTAAGATGGCTGCAAAAGAGCCACTGTGATTCTGGGCTGCATGTAGAAAGGCCTCGTGTCATGGATCATGGAGGGGGGATAGGCTGCCTGTCTGTGGGGCTCTGGTGTGATGTGGGAGCCAGAAAAATTGACAAATTGTGAGGAGTCTAACAAAAAGCAACAAAATGATCTGGGGGCTGGAGCAAATGAGCTCTGAGGAGAGAAAAAGCCAAATCTGCCTGGTTTCATTAAGCGTTGAGTCCCAACTCAAAACGGCAAAACCAATCACCTACAGTTAAGTGAAGGTAACAACAACAGGGAGGGGTTGTGATCCCCTAGGGTGATATCAGAGAAATAAAATGCGATTGCAAAAGGGAAAACACATGCTGTGAACTTTTGGGCAGTGAGATGTGCTTGGCTGGGGAATCCTCTCCCAGGAAGCCCCAAGAACTTCTCCCCTTGGGAGTTGGAAACTAAACTAGGTCCCTGGACCTGCTGGAAGCTGTGCTGAGTCCCTCTTTATGAAAGTGCCTGCAGCTCCTGCTCAAAGGTGGATGAAGTAATGGACACTGAGCTCCCAAAGGCCCTGTACCTAGTGTGTTTTAATGAAATTGTCTGAAAAGTTGATTCCCAGCCCATTGTTGAGACACTAGTTGGTACTTTGTTCACATGAGAATATGCCAACCTGAGATCAGCATGAGCTCTCCCTAGAATTAATCTGCTTGGAGGTACTCTGTGTCCTTAAATCTCCATGTCCCTGCTTGCCTGCTGTTCACCTAGTGCAAATCCAGAACTATTTACAGGATTCGCTCAGGTCTGCTGGCTGCTGTGCCGCGCCGTCCCCTCCCATCCCTCTGGCTGGTTTGCTCCACTAGCCGGGCAAGGACTTTAGCACAGCCCGTGCAGGTGTGGTGCAGTGCGGCCGGATGTTGACTGACTGGCTTGTTCTTTCCCCTTTTAGCCATTGTACAAGGAGACTCTCTGGAAGAGATATACAACAAAATCAAACAGATCATTGAGGACCAGTCTGGGCACTACATCTGGGTCCCATCCTCTGAGAAACTCTGAAGACTTCCCCCATCAACTTCCTTGTGAGCAGATGTCTGAAATCCCTCCCTCACCTATGCCCCAAGGGGGGGGGGGACATGAATACTTCTCCCGCCCCCTTTTTTAGATCGTCGCAAGATTGAGTTTTCTAGTCCTGTTTCTTTTTGTTGGGATGAATCAATCTCGCTTACCACGTGACTGTCCCCACCATTCCTGCATGGACCTTCCCGCTGCTCCATTAGAGACAGATGAGATCCCATTCAAGTCGTTTTTTATTATTATTAAAACTTAACCCAAGAAGCGAGATGGGAGGAGGCAGCTGAGGACTTATGTAAAGAACGACTGAAACAATGGATTTTTTGAAAATAAGCTAGGACTGGAGCTTCCGGGGACATTTCTCCAAGCATGTGTCACTGCCTTGTAGCTCTGAACAGTACAACAGAAAGCATTTTATTTATCTGTATATGTAATTTATATATAATACATAAAGATATTATATATATATTATATATATGTGGACTAGAAAACCTGAGGGACCTCCTAAAATGGTACTATATTATTGCAAGGATCTTTTGAATTATTGTATCCCAGTCACTGGGCACGGGAAGTCCCACTCTGGTCAAGAAGAGATTGAAACGGTACTGGATGCTTCGGATGCTTCTCACATCTGGTCAGGTTTCTGAGAACCAAAGCCCAGATCTTTGGGGTAGATCAGAGGAACTGGGATGCTGTGTGCGTGTAGAGGGGCCAAGGGTCCAGAATAACCTGTAGCCGCTGATCTGAGTGAAACGAAGACCCAGGCTGAGCAGGAGGTTGCAGAGCGAGAGAGAACGGATAAGACGTTATTAAATTGCACATTGTTTTACACACCACCTAATGTGTTTGCATGAGAGGTTTCCTTTTTGTTCTATTTTTTTAAGCAGATGTTAAACCAAAACCATATTGTGGTGTTGTGTCAGCTTTTTTATTCGAATTTTCTCACGTTAATAATGACCTGTGGGTATAAAATCCATTTTTTTAACTTATTTTTTAAGATGGTTACCTTGTAAATAGAATCCAGACCCAGGGTGTCATAGTTAGGAAATAATCTACAGACCATATGGAATGAGCAAGCTGGCTGATCTGTGCTGCTGCCGGAACACTTCAATGTGGATGCAGCAAATGCCATCCATCTGGTCTCCCTGGGGCCCTTAGACTGGATTTGAATTGGGTATGTTATATGGTGAGGGAATTCCAGTCTTCCTCATGGAAGCACACTGGAATTCCCCTCTGCTGCTGGAAGAAGACCACAGCTGTCCTGGGATGGAAGCTCACATCTTCCCAAATGAATAATGGAATTTAATACAGAGTTCAGAATTTTAGTAACCATGAAAACTGCCATTTCCCCTGCAAGGGGTGAGGACCTTCGCTGTGGAGCAGCTGTGCATGCAATGCAGCAGTGCCCCTTCCTGAGTCCCTGGGACTCAGAGCTTGGCAGACAGTGCTTGTTCACCTCTTCTGTTTAATATTTCTACTACTGACAAGTGTCTGCATAAAGCCTGTTCTGAAGTTTGGGATCCACTTTCAGAAAGTCTTAGGAGCTTTGCAGTCTGTTGGGTATGGAAATACAGACAGAATTGTACCATCATGCTGTTTTATCAAGAGATCTTGTGACCAGGTGAGTGGTGTAAGACCACAGACAGGTAGTCTTCCTTGGACTGAGAGGCTGCTGCTTTTGAGAAGCTCAGGTGTGTGCATTCGAATATGGCTCCACCTCAGGAAAAGAGCTTCCAAAAGGATTTGTGGATTTTCCAATCTAGATTTTGTTTTTCAAGTATCCCTAATTCTAGTGCAAGAGCCCTCTCCTCTGCAGGGAAAAATGTAAACATTCTCCATGCCACATTCCTGTCTACCAGAGCAACGGAGGTCACCATAAAAATGTGAGCAGGTGTGTCTTCCTCCTTTCCATGTGGTGACAGTTGGATGCTACAGAAGGAAACCAAGGTGTTGCTGACCTAACCTAATAGGATCAGACCACTGCTGTTTCCAGCTAGACAACACCGTACTAATGCTGTCCTCTCCCTGAGGTGATAGATAGCTGTTTGTGTCTGTGTGTTTTGTGCAGTGGCCTCAGTTTTAAATACGAGTGAGGACCGCTGTAAGTTTGTAGAGAGACATTCTGGTAAGTGAGAAGCGATTCCTTCGGTGACGGTTGTCAATCGCTGGAGACCAAACGGGATTTGGCAGCCCTGTGAGCCTAAAGCAATGCTGCAAAGCTCATTGATGGCATGACTGCTGTTAAGAAGTGGCGCTAAAGGAGGGAGGACTGCTGCTCAGCTAGAGTCTCTCAATGGGAGGAGATTCTGGCCATGGACCGATGTCTAGTATTTATAGCTACTGCCTGCTCTATTGGTTCTGCTCTGGATGCCACAAGCCCCATTCTCTGGAGAGGCGGCATAGGTGAAATAGGAGCAAGTACCTAAGATGCTAGTTACAAGGTTCTAGTTCCTTTACTTTCTTCTAAGAGTCTGTCTCCCTCTCTTCTAGTCACATGGAGAAAAAGGCCACTGTACTCCATGGCATAGGTGAAAGTATCCAATCAGTCATGACACTAGTTGGTTACCAGTGTTTCTTCCAAGGAGACATATATTTTTAATAAACAGAGAGTTGCAATGAACTCTGACTCAGAAACCTTCTTGTAAAAACCTTTTATTGTGTAGTGAATCCCTGCCATTTGGAGGTTGATCCTGGCACCTGAGTTTAGTCTAGCTGGCCTGCAATGAACCAAAGGGTTACGCTCAACATGCCAAAGCCTGAAAATGTTTAGGGTTCCAGGTGGGAGGGGGTGGCCCCTAAAGATCAATCCTGAAAAAGAGCAGTTGTTGGGTTTAGATTAGTGACTATAGCAACAAGAAGGCCCCTCTGCAGCTTTACCAATGCCACTGCAGCATAATGTATTCAGCCAACACAGCTGGACCAAAGCCCCTTGATTGCTTGCAGGCCACAGATTCTCATGCCATGTGGGGGATTAGCTGTACCACTTTTTATCAGTGGAAATTATGTGCCTTTATGAAATCCCTGCTGCATCTGGTCCTGCCTATACTGAAAAGGAGGGGAAGTGGCTTGTTTTTCACTGATAGGAATATGAAGCTGAGGGGGAGGGTCATACTAAAATTTAACTTAGTCAAACATGCTATTTGTACAATATTGACGGGCAGAAGTTATAGTGACACAGTTACATTGAAGTAAAATGTTGGGGATGGAGTTGTCTTTACTAAATGTAGTTAAAACCTATTTTTGAAATTCCCAGCGTGCTCATTCCGTGCGTGAATGGGTTATCTGCTCTCATGGGGAGAGGCTACTATTTTAATGGTGCATCAATTTACAATCCCGGTCGCAGGCCCAGCCTCAGAATCCAAAAAAAAAAAAAAAAAAATCTGCTCCCACATCAAAGGGCTGGAAATTAGGGTTTCAAAGTAAAACTTGTTTTAAAAAAAACATTGACCTAATTTAATGGTTGGTTTAACTTGTTAAATTGAAACTTATAAAAAGTTAGAGAGAGCTAATTTCCAGGTCATGTAGATGAGCTGAACTTTCCCCATTCTACTAGCTCATAAGCCATTTTTTAAAGAAGCGGCTTCTTGTACGGTTATTTCTAATACAGTGTAATTGAATAATTGAGTTTTGATTTAGTTGGAGTGATTGAAAGCTCTTGCCTGGCAGTTTTCCTTTCAGAAGCTGGAGATGCAGGAATAAAGTGGCTTTTGAAGAACTGGTAGCAGAAAGCACGAGGTAGTTTACTGACGAGTCTCAGGTTATTGTCCATATACTTAATTTTTTGTTTAGTTAGCATATTAGTGATTGTCAGACTGAAAAGATCAATAGTCCCTCTAGTCTGGTCTCTGACAGTGGTGTGTATACCTGATCCTTCAGGCGTAAAAGCCTCAGGAAAGACAAGTAACAAAATAGCATGACATGGTAGAGGTTCCTTCCTCAGTCGGGCTGTTAGTGGTTGGCTCATGTCCTGAAGCATGGGTAGTCACATAGCTTACAAACATATCCAAGCCTGCTGTAAATGCAGATACCATACAAGTGTTGAAGTCTTTCTTGAATTGTACTGAATGCTCCGTCCTAATAATACCGCGTGGCAGCAAGCTCCATAGCTTAATTACTCTATGGTGTAAAGGTCTTCCCATCCGAACACAACATGAACAGAAGGGTAACGGTCCTGCTTCAAGTCCTACAAGAGCTCGCTTGGTGGCTAGACCCAGTAAATAAATGGAAAGGTGGTTCCTTTCTCTGCCCCCACCCCAACTGACACTTATCACAGATGCTTCAGGGCCAGGTTGGGGTACCCACCTCAACCAGCTGCAGCTACAAGAAATTGTCTCAGAACAAGTAACAGCTACACATGAATGTCTGGAGTTGAGAGCCATCAGCCCAGCCTGGCTAGCATTTCCACCTGTTCTGCAAAACTCCACAATGCAAATTCTGATTGACATGGCTGCACTTCACCATGTAACCAAACAAAGAGGCACTCAACCATTCCCTCTTTGTCAGGAAGCCATCAAGCCCTGGAAGCAGTGTCACCAACACAGGTTAACCCTGCAGGCTCTACATGTACCAGGGGTCAGCAGTGACTGAGCAGATTTCTCAAGCAGACATGCAGTGACCATTCACAACTGGTTACTGAACGGCTCCGTCAGGCAGCTAAGGTCTATCATGGAAGAGCAGAGGTGGGGGGAATTGTCCTTTTAAACTTCTGCTCAAGCAGAAGCATGAGCCTAGTCTTGTTGCCAGATAATTTTCTCCTTCGATGGTTTCAAGGATACATATATCCCTTCCTACCAATTGCCCAGATCTCTAAAATAGTATACAAGATCAGGCACGACAAAACTAAAGTCATCCTGATAGTCCCTTACTGGCCGAGATAGCTTTGGCCATCAGCCCTGCTTCAGGTTGCCACATGGACAGCTATCTCCCAGCCAATCTAGATGTAATATCCCAGAACTAAAGTCAACTCCTGTACCTAGACCCGCAGTCACTGCATCTGACTGCTTTGATGCTGGCTGACTGACCACAACTAAAAGAGAGACATTCAGAAAATTCTCATCCAAAGCAGGAAGTCCATCCGCCAAGAAGATTTACCTCTCCAAATGGAACAGATTTTTCCACATGGGTGGTCCAAAAGAACATGGACCTAGAACAGGAATATACACCGACAATCCTTGATTATGTGCTGCTACTAAAACAGGATGGATTGGCATTTAACACTCTCAAGGTCAACCTAGCAGCAATATCAGTGTGCCACATGTTGGTACAGTCACGAAACTGTCTCTCATCAAACAGTATTGAAATGCCTTAAGGTCCTCCCTCATTCTTGCCCTCAGGTTAGACAGGTTATGTCCTTCTATAGGGACACAGTAGTGGTCAGGACACATCCCAAGGTCATCCCTGAGATGGTCTGACTTTCACCTGAACCAGTCGCTCACCGTGTCAGTCTTCATGATGCATTCTTGATACCGTGAAGAAGCTGCAGAATCTGGATGTCAGCAGGGCTTTGCTATAATACCTGGATTGGAAGCCTTTCTTGCTTTCTCCCTCCCTCTTTGTGGCTATTTCCAGTCACGCAGTCTTTTCACAGAGAATCTCCAACTTGATCTCACAGCGTATGTCCATCTGCTATTAGCTGACTGATGAGCCTGTCCCGTCAAACATCAAGGTGCTCTCCAGCAGGGCAGAGGATGTCGACCACTTGCTTCAGGAACAGTCCAACCTCTCAGGTCGGTAAAGCTGCAGCTTGGAGTAACTCACTGAATTTTGTTGAACATTGCCTTTGACATGGCTACCTGGGCAAATGCCTATTTGGCAGGGCAATACTCCAATAGTTGTTTGACTGATATGGCTAGAACTCCACTCTCTCACCATCAGGGAGGAATATTTGCCAGTCTCCAACAGTGAATTCCACACCTTCTTAGTGTATGCGCAACATGCCTCAGGTGGCATGTGACTAGTATTCATCACCGAATTTGGTCTGCTGGTTGGATCATTAGCTTCCCTGGCCTGAGCCAGGTACTGACAGGGAGCACGACATGAACACTGATCCATGCTCCCCAGCTCCACACTGACACATACTCAAAGGGATGGTTCCTTATTCTAAGGTAACTGTGATTCTTCAAGATGTCAGTGCATATCCAAAAACTCACCCTCCATCGTCATTTTTCCAAGTTCACAACTACTACAGGCTTTGAACTGCAAGGGAACTGATGAGGGGTCAGTCACTCTGCCCTTTCTGCCTTCATAGGGAGCATGAGACAGCATAGGGCACAGGTGCAGCCCCCCCAACAACGACTGCTATTCAAAGAAATACAGGTCTCACATACAAGAGGTGGATCCATACTGACTACAACATATCATGGAATCACAGTTACTTTAGGGTAAGTAATTCTTCTGTCTAAGTCTACTACGTAAATTCAATTCTGACTAACTAGCGTTGAAACAAAGCCTCTCACTGCTGACCTAAGCCATACTGAAAAGCATCTAGTGCAATGTATATAATGTAAGTCGGTTTCTGTGAATGCTGCAATGGCATCAGCTTGTGTCAGTCTTCAGGAAATGAGCTCAGCTGTAGAACACCTCAGGAGGAGGCTTAGATAAGGGTTGGCTTCCAGCGGCTGGGTGGAGATGGGGTGTCACGCTGCAGACTGGTCATTAATCAGGCCTCCAAAACCATTAGCTTGACTTTAGGCCATGATTTTTAAAACTAAATGTTGGGTTTTTATTTGCCCTCTGGTTGTTGAGCCTTTAAGCTTCACATTTCTAAGCTTCTCTATACCGCCAGGAGGGCTTGGCATTTATGTTGTTTTAAATGAAAGCCGTTCCTGGAGTCATGTGAATACCTGCTTCTGCCCAGATTGTTGTAGAGAAAAGTGTGAAACCAGAAGGCAAATAATCCAATGTTTGGCTTAAATGATTTTTTTTTTTGTGGGAGGGGGAGGAGTGAGGGAAGAAGAATGCTTGAGTGGGAACAGGCACCCTGTTATGTCAGGCCTACAGAAATAATACTTTAACTATACAGAGTAATGTTGCAGCCTTCCTTTTACGTTCAGAAGCATCTCTGACCATGAGCCAGGGCTCTGCTAATAAAGCCCTTTCATACAGCACTTAACAATTGCAGGGGTGGATGCAGTGTAGCCTGGACTTGGCCATTTTCCTTGTGGTCTGCCAATTGTGCACTGGTGTGGGAGTTAAGCACCAGCTGCTGATCTTGTGCACGTCCAGCTGAACGAAGTCCTCCGCCAGTGTTGCACTGTGACGCTGATTCTCGGCTTTCCTTCCGAATAGCAGCAAAGCTGACCCCTTCAGTAAAGCCGGAGTGATCTTTTCTAAGTGGCAGTAGCAATACTATAGTGAAGTGCTCTAAAATCCACACGTTTTCTCAGATTACCTTGAAATAATCACTGTCCCTCATGGTCATTTGGGGTAGAGCGAGTGGTCCAAATCTTGAGACGACTTGACTGCCAGTGCCTCTCTCCTAGCTCAGCATGAGGTGCAGCAGTGTGCTGCGACTACCCTCTGCCCTTCTCAACCCAGTGGTCCCTAACGTAACGAAGAGCAGTTGCAGTACATGCAGATGAATGAGGCTACAACTCTGTGGGCCACCCCCCATGACATGCCCACTTACTTGATAGTTTCTCATGCCTGCTTACTAGAGGGCCGCCCTGGCTGAAATATATTGACACTGTAGGTTCTCCCGAAGGTTCTCTCCTTCCCCACTCGGCTGTCTCTTAGAAGGTGATCACAACTCAAGCTGCTTTAAGTGAGCATGTAACCAATGTTTTCGGTTCTGTGTGTGACCACCTCCGACATTCTATTTGCTTTTCTGAAATGGCGGCTGTACACCAGTTTTACTGAGCGATACTGCTGCCTGTTAAACAGAGGCTGCACCACGCTGTTTAGGTAAGGCTGTATTAGTCCTATTAAATTTTAGCTGGTGGGGTGGTGTCTACTCAGCCAATCCATTCGGCTGTGGGTAGAGTATCCAGCCTGTGTACTGCTTTTGGGGAGGTTAAGGGTGAACAGTGACTTACTCAGTATGTTATATTTAGCAGCTTATAAACAGCAGTGCTAGCCAGAGCTTTAGCATTTTGTGTGTGACAGTGTGAGCGAACCACCTATTCTCTTTATTATAACAAAGTGATTGATAGTTGCAATCCTGGCCAGCAGTTCTAAATGCCTGACCATACTGAAATGGACTGAAAACTAAACAACCCAGTAAATATTTATGTAGGAAGACAGCTGTGGCAGCCACAAGATGCACATGGTGCTGGAACCCTTTTATTGGTCACATTGCTACTTCCAACCTTTAAACATTTAAACTAGCCTGGCTCTACAACAGCAGCCCCATCTCATTAAGTTACAACTCAGCTTCTTACTGTTACATAGCTCTATAGCATGAATACAAGTCCCTGACGGGAAACAGTTACATCTCGCCTATAAAAACTTCCTTAAAAGTACATAGCTTTAAAATGGCCAACGGGAGCAGGGCCTGGCTGCTGGTCCCAGCAATCGCTGAACGGCAAGCAGCCTCTGCTATCCAGCTGAATGTTTACGGGGGTGCCATCCTCCTGGCTTGCTGCACCTAGTGGTGGTCTTCATTTGGAAGGAACCCTTTTGCTCTGTCCAACTTATCCAGCACCTCACTGTAAAGACCAGTCATCTGGGGAATAGAATCACAACAGTCCTCTGAGCGGATAAAGAAAAGCAAAGTGCTGCCATTCAATTAGAGGGGAAGGGGTCAGAGCTTGTCCCTATGACCTGAACTACATACTGGTGTATATACAGTTGGTTTTTTAACCAATGTAACTATAACTGTTTAGAAATCAGTACAGCCCACCCCTCATTTATACAGTGGAAAGGTGCTTATAGTAGTATAACTTTCAACTAGGGCTGTCAAGTGATTAAAAAAAAAAATTGTGCTGTTAAACAATAACAGAATACCATTTATTTAAATATTTTGGATGTTTTCTACATTTTTAAGTATACTGATCTCAATTACAACACAGAATACAAAATGTGCACTGCTCACTTTATTTTTGATTACAAATATTTGCACTGTAAAAAAAATAGTATTTTTGAATTCCCCCATTACAAGTACTATAATGCAGTCTCTCTATCATGAAAGTTGAACTTACAAATGTAGAATTATGTACAAAAAATAACTGCATTCAAAAACAAAACAGTATAAAACTTCAGATCCTACAAGTCCATTCAGTCCTACTTCTTGTTCAACCAATTGCTCAGATAAAAAAATATGTTTACATTTGCAGGAGATAATGCTCCCACTTCTTGTTTACAGTGTCACCTGAAAGTGAGAACAGGTGTTCGCATGGCACTGTTGTAGCAGGCATCGCAAAATATTTACATGCCAGAGGCACAAAAGATTCAGATGTCCCTTCATGAGGACATGCATCCATACTGATGTCGGGTTCTGCTCGATAACGACTCAAAGCAGTGCAGATCAAGGCATATAAAAGGCTGAGTCAGATGCCACCAGCAGAAGGTTGATTTTTGGTGTTTCAGGTTAACGTCGGAGGGTTGCTCTTTTAAGACATCTGAAAGCATGTGCTCCACACTTCGTCCCTCTCAGATTTTGGAAGGCACTTCAGAGTCTTAAACCTTGGGTCACGTGCTGTATCAATCCTTAGAAATCTCACAATAGTGCCATCTTTGCATTTTGTCAAATCTACAGTGAAAGTGTTCTTAAAATGAACATGTGCTGGGTCATCATCTGAGACTGCTATAACGTGAAATATATGGCAGAATGCAGGTAAAACGGAGCAGGAGGCATACAATTCTCCCCCAAGGAGTTCAGTCACAAATTTAATTAACACTTTTTTAATGAGCGTCATCAGCATGGAAGCATGTCCTCTGGAATGGTGGCTGAAGCATGAAGGGGCATACAAACGTTTAGCATATCTGGAATATAAATTCCTTGCAATGCTGGCTACAAAAATGCCATGCGAACAATTGTTCTCACTTTCAGGTGACATTGTAAATAAGTGGGCAGCATTATTGCCTGCAAATGTAAACAAATTTGTTTGTCTTAGCGGTTGGCTGAACAAGAAGTAGGACTGAGTGGACTTGGGGGCTCTATAAAGTTCTACACTGTTTTGGTTTTGAGTAGTTATGTAACAAAAAAAATCTACATTTGTAAGTTGCACTTTCACGATAACGAGATTGCACTACAGTACTTGTATGAGGTGAATTAAAAAATACTGTTTTTTATCATTTTTACATTGCAAATATTTGTAATCAAAAATAACAATATAAAGTGAGCACCGTACACTGTGTAGTAATTGCAGTCAGTATATTTGAAAATGTAGAAAAACATCCAAAAATATTTAATAAATATCAATTGGGATTCTACTGGGATTCGCATTTAACAGCGCGATTAAAACTGCAATTAATTGTGATTTTTTTAATCAATTAATTTTGTTGAGTTAATCGCCTGATTTAACTGCGATTAATCGACAGCCCTATTTACAACTGCAGCCACACTAGGGACTGTATCTGTTTCAAAAAGTGATACAATTAAATGGGCACAAAAAGTACTGACCAGCCCACAACCAATCAGTGTTAAACTGGAGCCAGTGTAGGATAATGCATGTGTAAGATAATGCATGATGACTGCACACATTATCCAGTCTATAAATTCCTGCAGTAGGGATGGGCAGCCCTAAGGACAATGGACCCAAAAGTAACAGAGCAGCAGAAAGAAACTTGCTTGGTAAAGGGCTAAGAAAAGCTATACAGCTTTCTACAGAGGGCTGCTCACTGAAGTGTCCTGCCCTGCAGAGCCATGCCTGGTCTACATCCAGAAGTAGCACTGATTTCACTAAAGGTGGGATGCTGCCGCAAGTTAGTTACATCACTTAGTGCCAGGCTTATGGCAGTTCAGTTTAGCTTAAACCTGGCTTAGAGCAACAATGTAAGCGTCTACACACACAGTCACCCTGGTTTGATTAAACCAGCGCACCATCCCACTGTTAGAGATACTGGTGCTACATGTGGGTATAGAAAATCCTTTTGTTTTCTTTTTAGTTAGTTACAGCACCTGCCTTTTTGCAGAATGTCCTCTCCATCTGTCTACTTCCATTTTTAGTTGTACTGCTTCTCATGTTTCATTGCTTGTAGCTGCATGAGTGTGATGGGTTAGATTACCGTTTCCCAGTACTGTGATAAGAGGCTCAGTTAAATGATCAGCAATCTTATTAAAAAAGATTGGTAACTGCTTGGGGATGCAGTGAATGGGGAAGAGAGCAGAAAAGACCATTGTGATCATCCAATCTGAGCTCCTGTACAACACCTGTCAGAGAACTTTACCCAAGTTTTTCTCCCCTACCTCTCACGTTCAAACATTTATTCTTTTCCCTAACAGTTTCTGCCCTGATCCTAAGACTCCTATGGCCCCTCATACTGAATGCAACGCCCCACCATGGCAGCACACAAGCTTTGCCTCAGTGAGGGTCACTCTGGGAGCTTGTCCAAAGCTGTGTCTAAAATGGAGCAGAGGGCAGCTGGCCTCATCATGGATAGAGGAGTGCAACCTGCAGCAATAACTAGTGTCTCCATCTTTATCTGAGCAGCCAGCCACACTGCATGCTGGGATCTGAACTTTTCATGCCTCCCACATGTCTGTGAAATATGTCCCACTGTAGAATGCTGTGGCAGCATATAGTGCGCGGGTTGCAATTTGGCCACCCTGCACAAGGAGAAGCCAGCATAGAGCCAAAGGTTTGCTCACAGCTGAGCTGAAAAATACCTCCACTCAGCTGCTTGCACAAGCTCACTAGTATCAGGACTAAAAATTCCTCTTTCTGCCTGTGGGCCGCATCCATTGTGTCCTCTCTTCCCCTTGGGTTTAGACAGTTGAAGCTGCAGCTCTGGAACACAATTCCAGGCTTAGCCCCACAATAGCTCGTGTTGCTTAAGCATCTAGTGACTTCTTCTACCTTGTCCATTTCCCTTTGGAGCAGTTCCTTCTATGCTTTTCGCCCCCCTGCCTTCTGCTCACACTCACCTGGCTTTCGTAGCTGCTCTTCAGGGATCTCAGGTGATTCAGAAAGCGCATACCCAGCCCACACCAGTGCTCAGCCTCCTTGTATTTACCAACACTGTACTGAAATATTCCTGTATTCCAGGCTCTGGTCATCAGCCAAAGGGTCTCCACCTCTGGGTAATCATCCTAAAGTAGCCAGCAAGGCAAAGCAACAATGCAAAGATTAGGCTTCTCACTCTTAAAGATGCCTGGTCTAGGGTGCATTAGAGTTTATTACTAGAATAAAGAAAAGGAGTACTTGTGGCACCTTAGAGACTAACCAATTTATTTGAGCATGAGCTTTCGTGAGCTACAGCTCACTTCATCGGATGCATACCGTGGAAACTGCAGCAGACATTATATACACACAGAGATCATGAAACAATACCTCCTCCCACCCCACTGTCCTGCTGGTAATAGCTTATCTAAAGTGATCATCAAGTTGGGCCATTTCCAGCACAAATCCAGGTTTTCTCACCCTCCACCCCCCCACACACAAACTCACTCTCCTGCTGGTAATAGCCCATCCAAAGTGACAACTCTCTACACAATGTGAAATGGCCCAACTTGATGATCACTTTAGATAAGCTATTACCAGCAGGACAGTGGGGTGGGAGGAGGTATTGTTTCATGATCTCTGTGTGTATATAAAGTCTGCTGCAGTTTCCACGGTATGCATCCGATGAAGTGAGCTGTAGCTCACGAAAGCTCATGCTCAAATAAATTGGTTAGTCTCTAAGGTGCCACAAGTACTCCTTTTCTTTTTGCGAATACAGACTAACACGGCTGTTACTCTGAAACCTGTCATATTACTAGAATAGAGAAACAGAAGGAAGTTCTTCACCCTGGGCATGCAAAAGCCAGAATTCCCTATTGTCTTTCCTATAATTCACCACTCACCTGCACCACTTCCGAACTGCTTACTGCCAACGTGGGCGAGGAATGTGGCATGCTTGTCTATTCTTAGGACAGAACGTGCAATCCTGTGGTACTGGGGATGACCCATGGTGGCTGCACGTGGCCGGAGAACTTGCATTTGAAAGTGGCGCATGCACTCTTGTGATCTATTTGCAGAGTGGCTGAAATCGCAGCAGTAACATTTTCAACATGCACTGAATGAGGGGAACTGATTGTTATGCAGACCTGGAATGACCTGCAGTAGTTCCAGAATTTCAGGATGTCGAAGATCACATCCCTGGAATCGTGTGCCAAGCTAGTCCCTGTCTTGCAGCACAGGACTACACCAGGATGAGAGCTGCCCTTAGTGACAATCTCCATATGGAAGCTTGAAAACCCAGATCGCTACCAGTTAGCGGGAAACCAATATGATGTGGGAAAAATCAACAAATTAATCCTCCTCCTCCTTCCTGAGCCTCCTCACTGATGCTGAATAAGAAGCATCTTGCTTAGAATCTCATGGATGAAAATAAGCTAAGGCCAAATCTTGCTTTGGCTCTGTCATAAACATACAGCTAAGGGTAGCATAAAATCCCTCCCTTACCTGTAAGGGGTTAAGAAGCTCAAATAACCTGGCTGGCACCTGACCAAAAGGACCAATAAGGGAAGAAGATCCTTTCAAATCTGTGGGGGAAGGTTTTTTTTTGGGCTCTCTTTGTGTTCTCTCTCAGACAGAGAGGGACCAGGGCAGGAAAAACCATCTCTGAAATAAGCATCCAAGATTATAAAAATTTTAAGTAATAGCAAGGAAATGCGTTAGCTTATCTTTTGTTTTAGCTTGTGAATTTTCCCTATGTTAAGAGGGAGGTTTATTCCTGTTTTTTGTAACTTTAACGTTTTGCCTAGAGGGGAATCCTCTGTGTTTTAAATTTTATTACCCTGTAAAATTACCTTCCATCCTGATTTCACAGAGGTGCTTCTTTTACTTTTTTCTTTATAATAAAGTTCTGTTTTTAAGAACTTGATTGGTTTTTAGTGTCCTAAAAACTCAAGGGTCTGGTCTGTGCTCACCTTGTTTACCTATTTGGTTGGTATATTATTCTCAAGCCTCCCCAGGAAAGGGGGTAAAGGGGCTTGGGGGGATATTTTGGGGAAACAGGAACTCCAAGTGGTCCTTTTCCTGAATCTTTGTCTAACTCACTTGGTGGTAGCAGCATACCATCCAAGGACTAGGAAGAATTTGTGCCTTGAGGAAGCTTTTAACCTAAGCTGGTAGAAATAAGCTTAGGAGGTCTTTCATGCGGGTCCCCACATCTGTACCTCAGAGTGGGGAGGGAACCCTGACAGTCTCCTTGGTACTAGCTATTTCCACTGTCTGGTTTATACTTCAGGCCTATCAAGAATGCACAGAAAACCAGTGGGGACTAACAAGGCCTGAACAGACTGCAGATTTCACTCTTCAGTCCCCATGGAGACAAGGTCCTGAAAAGTAAGTGCATTATAGCAAGTACTGATAGCAGGGAAAACCATTTCCAGGTCATTTGAAAAACAGGAATTTAAAAAACCCACAAGGAAATTTAATAAACAGTTGATTCATCAATGCCAGTATTGCAAGCCAAATTTCACCCAGCCTCACACTGAGGACTGGAGAAGGGCAAACATAGTATCTCTTCCTTTAAAAGCAAACCCAGGGAATGTATAAACTAGACAGCCTGACTTTGATACCTGGAAGGATAATGGAACAATTATTAAGCAATCCGTTTGTAAGCACTCTAGAGGATAATAGGGTTATAAGGAAAACCTAGCATGGATTTGTCAAGAAAAAATCATGCCAAGCCAACCTAATTTCCTTCTTTTATGGAGTACCTGGCCTAGTGGATAGGGGAATGCAGTAGATGTGATATATGTTGTGACTAATTTGAATGAATTCATATCAGCAGGGTCAAATGCTATTCACCCAAGGGTACTGAAGGAATTAGCTGAAGAAATCTCGGAGTCACTGGCAATATTTACAAACTCATGGATGACAGCAGAGGTCCCGGAAGATTGAAGAAGGGCTAACATTGTGCCAATCTTTAAAAGGGGGAAAAAGGAGGAGTCACTGAACGATAGATCAGTCAGCCTGACTTCAATACCAGGGAAGCAACTAGAACAATGTATAAAATATTTAATTTGCGAATATCTGGAAGATGAAGAGATAATCACTAGCAGCCAAGATGGATTTACCAAGAACAAAGCATGCCAAACCACCTTGATTTCCTTCTTTGATAGGGTAACTGATTTGGTGGATGGGGGAATGCAGTAGACATAATATACCTGGACTTCAGCAAGGCCTCTGACAGTCCCCCATGACATTCTGATAAGATGGAGAAATGCAGGCTTGACAGAACTACAATTAAGTGGATACATAATTGGTTAACCAACTGCAAACAGAGTAACTATATTAATGGACTGATGTTGGATTGGAGGGTGGGCTCAAGTGGGGTTCCACAGGGGTCTGTTCTGGGTCTGGTGATGTTTAATATCAATATTACTGACCTAGATGTAGGCATAGAGAGCAGACTGATCAAGTTTGCACATGACACAAAACTAAGCGGGTTGCTAATACTCTAGAGGATAGAGTTAAAATTCAGAGTGATCTTGAAAAATTGGAGAACTGGGCTATAGCCAAGATGAAATTCAACAAAGACAAATCTAAGGTGCTACAATTAGGAAAGAAAAACCAAATACAGAATGGGGGAAAACTGGCTTGGCAGCAGCATGGCTGAGAAGGATCTGGGAGTTGTGGTGGATCACAACCTCAACATGAGTCAGCAATGTGATGCTGTTGCAAAAAAAGCAAATGCAATTTTACGTTGCATTCACAGAGGCAAGTCATGGGAAGTGATAGTGTCGCTCTACTTAGCGTTGGTTAGGTGTTGGTTTGCACACTGTGCAAAATTTTGGTCACCAGTGTATAGAAAGGATGTAGAGAAACTGGAAAGGATCCCAAGGCAAGTGACAAAGACGATGGAATTAAAGCCTGGATGAATGGACTATAAGGTGGATAGAAAGTTGGCTAGATTGTCGGGCTCAACGGGTAGTGATCAATGGCTCCATGTCTAGTTGGCAGCCGGTATCAAGTGGAGTGCCCCAAGGGTTGGTCCTCGGGCTGGTTTTGTTCAATATCTTCATAAGTGATCTGGAGGATGGTGTGGATTGCACCCTCAGCAAGTTTGCAGACGAGACTAAACTGGGAGGAGAGGTAGATACGCTGGAGGGTAGGGATAGGATACAGAGGGACCTAGACAAATCAGAGGATTGGGCCAAAAGAAATCTGATGAGGTTCAACAAGGACAAATGCAGAATCCTGCACTTAGGATGGAAGAACCCCATGCACCGCTACAGACTAGGGACCGAATGGCTCGGCAGCAGTTCTGCAGAAAAGGACCTAGGGGTTACAGTGGACGAGAAGCTGGATAGGAGTCAGCAGTGTGCCCTTGTTGCCAAGAAGGCCAATGGCATTTTGGGGTGTATAAGTAGGGGCACTGCCAGCAGATCGAGGGACGTGGTGGTTCCCCTCTATTTGACATTGGTGAGGCCTCATCTGGAGTACTGTGTCCAGTTTTGGGCCCTACATTACAAGAAGGATGTGGAAAAATTGGAAAGAGTCCAGCGGAGGACAACAAAAATGATTAGGGGACTGGAACACATGACGTATGAGGAGAGGCTGAGGGAACTGGGATTGTTTAGTCTGCGGAAGAGAAGAATGAGGGGGGATTTGATAGCTGCTTTCAACTACCTGAAAGGGGGTTCCAAAGAGGATGGGTCTAGACTGTTCTCAGTGGTAGCTGATGACAGAACAAGGAGTAATGGTCTCAAGTTGCAGTGGGGGAGGTTTAGGCTGGATATTAGGAAAAACTTTTTCACTAGGAGGGTGGTGAAACACTGGAATGCGTTACCTAGGGAGGTGGTGGAATCTCCTTCCTTACATATTTTTAAGGTCAGGCTTGACAAAGCCCTGGCTGGGATGATTTCGTTGGGGATTGGTCCTGCTTTGAGCAGGGGGTTGGACTAGATGACCTCCAGAGGTCCCTTCCAACCCTGATATTCTATGATAAGCCATATGAGCAAAGGAACTGAGTATGTTTAGTTTGGAAGAGAGGAGATTAAGGGGGGTTATGATAGACATCTTCAGATATTTGAAAGGCTGCCACAAAAAATGAAGAAAAGTTGTTCTCTTTTTTGCCACAGAGGGCATGTAATAGGCAATGGGTTCAAACTACTGCATAGCAGATTTAGATTAAATTTCAGAAAAAAATTCCTAACTGTAAGAACAGTAGGACAATGGAACAGACTGCTTCACAGGAGGTTTTCAAAAAGAAGCTGGATAACCCCCTTTCTTGGATGGTTTAGACGCAACAAATCCTTCATGTTGGCAGGGAGTTAGATTAGCTGACTATTGTGGTCCCTTCTGATTCTATTATCTTGATTTTTAACAAGGTTTTTGACACAGTCCCACATATTCATCTAAACAAACTAGGGAAATGTGGTCTAGATAAAATTATTATAAGGTGGGTGCACAACTGGTTGAAAGAATGTACTCAAAGACTAGTTATGACTGGTTTGCTGTCAAACTGGGAGGGCATATCTACTGGGGTCCATCCTGGGTCTGACACTTTTCAATATTTTCATTGGTGGCTTGGATAATGGAGTGGAGAGTAAGCTTCTAGTCCATCTTGCCCAGTATCCTGTCTTCCAATAGTGGCCAATATCAAGTGCTTCAGAGGGATGAACAGGGAATCATCAAGTGATTCATCCCCTGTCGCCCAGTCCCAGCTTCTGGCAAACAGAGGCTAGGGACACACAGAACATGGTATTGGATCCCTGCGCACCCTGACTAGTAGCTATTGATGGACCTGTCCTCCATAAACTTATCTAGTTCTTACTGGAACCCTGTTATATTTTGGCCTTCACCACATCCCCTAACAAAGAGTTCCACAGGTTGACTGTGAAGAAATACTTCCTTTTGTTTGTTTTAAATCGGCTGCCTATTAATTTCAGTGCCTAGCAATGCTTTCAGGATCATTTAGGACATTTCATTAAGGACAAGTCTTTTGTTATCTTAATCACCCTGCCTCTGTTTATAAGCAAACTCCCTGCCCCAGGGGCGGAAGCTGGGAGCAGCACATTACTCATCACATATCACACTCAAGCTGTGTCGCGTTAAGAGCTCCCTCTGGGGCTAGGGAATGCGCTGTGACTGCAGACCTCGGGTACTAAACTCAGAGGAGGCTAGAGCCACTTCCCCCAACCCCCTTACTTGGTGCCCCTGCATGTGAGAACCTAAATATTTTAAGGTTTGTTTGATGATTGCTCTCATTCCGGTGAGGACTTTTTAAAGCTTACTCAGCATCATTTCCAATCTTTTGTTTTTCTGTTCTACTTACTGTGGTGCCTACAATGCTCAGAGCGTCTTCAAAGTAGCCCCACACCTCCTCCAGCACACAAGCATCTGTGTCTGTCACTCCAGTTGGCAGAGAAAGGTGAACCAAGCTGTGCAGACATTTGCTGGGAATCAAAACAGCAACAAAGAGGAAACTTGTTAAATACCCTGTGGAATAGGCATCGTTGATTACTCAGCAAAGCAACCGGCCATGGAACAAATGAGCTGAGTTTTAACAGCAGCAGCACTGTGGCTTGTGTCTCCATGTTGTCTGCACGACACTGCTTTGTACCCTGCCCCTTTATGAAAGCAGAAGGACGTCCTTGCCCTGGGTCTGAGCTCCTTCCTGCAGTCTATAGATGGGAGGGAGCAGCTATTGTATTTTATAGGAGTTGCCCAACTGAAAGGAAGGGGAAAGCAGCTATTCCTATCCCAATCTCACTAAGAGGGAGCTAACTACAGGGCCCTGCATGCCTTGCTTCCCTTTGAAATAAAGAAAAACAACAGCAAACGCATGCACCTTGAAATGGTTCTTCCTGCTCATTAAGGGAAAAGGCAGCTCCTTCATGATAGCTCAGCCTGGACTTTAGCAGAGTGATTCACAGAGCACTGCATTGGCAGTTCAGGTGCAGGGGGAGCAGAAGAGGGAATTCCATTACAGGGAATGGAATCTGAGGCAAAAGGACGTCAGGTGGTAGTTCAGATTCCATCTACAGCAGGTACCCTGGGCAGCTGGTTGCTCAGAACCACTATACCATATATATGGCATCCTATCTTTAAAGCTAACTCCTCCCAGCCCATGTGGCTTTCCCCTCAGTTCTCTTCACTTAATTTCTTTTGAGAGGACTACAACACACCCATCCAGCTGCAGTATGCCCTATGGAGCATGTCACAGTATAAAGCCAAAACTGCTTACTGGCACCTATTTGTAGCCAATCATCTTCATTGGCTTAGTTACCACTGTGAATATAAATTGTGTTAGTGTTAATTAAAATCTGTTTACTTAACATGCTTTCTGTTGTTAAACACTAGTGCAACAAAGATAATCATGTTGAAAAAAGTGTTGACTAGTCAGGGGTAAGGCTATGTTTTAGTCATGGGAATTTTTAGTAAAAATCATGGACAGGTCAGGGGCAGTAAACAAAAATTCACGGCCTGTGACCTGTCCATGACTTGTACTATATACCCCTGACTAAACCTTGAGGTGGGGGGAGCAGCCCAGGGGCGCCACAAGTGTTTGGGAGGTGGGGCAGCCTGGGGGTGCTGTAGGTGCTCAGGAGGGGGTGCTGCAGGTGCTAAGGGGGGAGCAGCCAGGACCCCCACTGGTGCTGGGGGAGAGGGGGTTGGCAGGGCTGGCAGGCTCCCTACCCAGCTCCTCGCAAGCGGCAACATGTCCCTTCCTCAGCACCTAGCTCCCTGTACTGCCTCCGCAGCTCCCATTGGCCTGGAACCGCAGCCAATGGGAGCTGTGAGAGTGGTGCCTGTGGGCGGTGGCAGTGTGCAGAGCTAGGAGCTGAGGGTTAGACACGTTGCCGTTTCTGGGGAAGCCCCCCAAGGTAAGCACCACCCAGAACCCTCATATCCTCCTGTGCCCCAGCCCTGAGCCCCCTCCACACCCAAACTCCTGGTGCTGCTGGGCGGGGGGTGGCCCAAAACTGCCCCAGTGGTGGCCCGTGCAGCTGGCCCAGGGGCTGCCCAAGCTGCTCAGGTGGCTCTTGGGACAGCCACACAAGCTGCTGCAGAAGTCACAGAGTTCCTGGAAAGTCTCAGAATCCATGACTTCCATGACCGCCATGACAAACTTGCAGCCTTAGTCATAGGTAATCCTAACATGACTAGTGTTGCCCATTTGTAGTAGCAGATATTGGAGCCTTGCAGCAGGTTAGTCTCCCACTTGAAGGGAATTTGGTGACATGGAGTCAGGGTATTTTCTGTGTAATTTACTAACTTACAAAATGGGCACAAGTCCTGTTTATCTTGAGCAGAGACAACCAAAATTGCAGCAACCTCAGCCACTACTGCCCTGTCACCAAGCAGCAGCTCCCTACTTGGCACTAATTTACATAGCACACTCTCTGTTCTCGCATAAGCCTGAGTCTTTTATCTGGGACACCTTTAGTCCAAAGCTGCTTGCCCTGGACTGCATGATCTAGCAAGAGGGGCCTTGGCATGAACTCTTTTTGTTCCGAAGCTCTGCAATACAAAGGAAGCACAGGCATGTTTGGATGGAACCAGCTCCTTGCCAGTCTCCTTCTTGGAGGCTCTAGGGTTAATTATAACCAGCTAACACATTTTTAAACATGACTACCTTTGTCTGCACTAGTGGTCAAGTGACGTATAACATCATATTAAAACATTAGTTAAACAAAGCCAACGGAAGATTTCCTCCTTACATACTGTATGTGTGCAGCACAAGTACACAAACCTACTCCGTTACCATTATCAGCACTAATGAGCTCACCTTTGAAGAGCTCAGAGAGGAAACAGAGTCCCTGTACCCAGAAGCTCACAGTATGTCTGGAAAAAGGGTGTCTATTAAGGTCTTGTCTATATTATAGAGTTTTGTCAACAAAAGTCAGCTTTCGTCAACACAACAACACTATAATGCTCCTTCCGCTGACAAAACTCTCCTGCTTTGCCAACAAAATAAAACCACCTCGACGAGAGGCATAGAGCTTTTTGGAGCAAAATATCAACAAAGTGTCAATGTAGACACTGTGCTTGGTTATGTCGCTGTAAATGGTCTCCAGGGGGTGTCCCACAATGCCCATTCTGACCGCTCTGGTCAGCAGTTTGAACTCTGCTGCCCTGCACCTGGGAATTTCTGAAATTCCATTTCCTGTTTGCTCAGTATGGACAGCTCACATTGCCTCTTCCCAGCTGACTACGGCATCACCACACAGCAAAATGCTCTCCTGCTCAGAGTACACCCAAGGTGTTGGATCTGCTGGCGCTGTGGGGAGGAGGCTTTGCAGTCCCAGCTACGCTCCAGCTGTAGGAACTTCAGTATCTATGGTCAGATTTCTTGTGGCATGTTGGATAAGGGCTATGAATGGGACACGCATCAGTGCCATGTGAAGCTAAAGGAGCTGAGGCAAGCACACCAGAAGGCAAGGGAGTCAAATTATTGCTCTGGTGCTGCCCGAAGACTTGCCGCTTCTATAAGGAGCTGGATGCCATCCTCGGCAGTGACCCCAACTCCTCTGCCACAAGCCATGTGGTTACTTTGGCGGGGCTGGAGATTCAACCCTGAGGATGAAGTCATGGACAAAGAGGTCAAGTTGGAGGATGATGTGGAGCACACAGCAGGACCTCTTTTCCACTCCAGAGGGGTCGAGCCTGTCCCAGCAGTCCATCTCTGGCGTGCAAGAAGCAGGAGAGGGGAGCTCTGGTAAGTGATCTTTTTGAGTTGATGCTGCTTGGTTATATGAGGTAGAGTTGTCCTTTGCTTCGTTATAGTCTAGAAGTGGGTGAAGGGATAGAAATGTACAAGACTAGCTGTGTCTGCATGTGATTCGCATTCCCCTGTGCAACTAAGCAATGCGGCAGAACAGTGTGTTAATGCACACCGAGATTTCATAGGAATCCTCTAGAGAGATCTCTAGGAAACTTTCCTGGATGTACTCGCCCATCATCAGACAAAGATTCCTTGGCAGAGCTGCTTTGTTCCTCCTGTCATTTTAGGAAACTCTGCCACACCAATTGGCAATCACTCATGGACCAACACAGCACACAGACAAGCAGCATGGGAACTCCGTCTGAAGCCGTACACATGTAGGAGATGCATGCTTGCATACCCTTAGGAGTAAAATATCGGCTTCAGTGACCCCCGCCTGTGGAAAGTAGTGGCAGAATTTACAATATTGTCCCTAGTTGCCTCCTAGATCCTTTGTCCCATCTTAAGTGCTCCCTGGGGCCGAACTCACCATGTTTAGGGCTTTTGCTGAGATGTGTGCTTGGCAACGGATAGCGAGAAACTGATTCATATCTCAAAGGAGGTGCATCTTACTATAATGATTTGATGCTATGCATGCACTAAACAATCATGCTTCTGTTTACTGTTTCTTGTGCTTCTACAGATGTGGCCTTCAGAGGAACACCCTACACACCAGCAGAGCACCTCTACCAGATAAGTATCAGAGGGGTAGCCATGTTAGTCTGTATCCACACAAAAATGAGGAGTCCGGTGGCACCTTAAAGACTAACAGATTTATTTGGGCATAAGCTTTCACGGGTTAAAAAACCACTTCTTCAGCTGCATCTGAAGAAGTGGTTTTTTTACCCACAAAAAGCTTATGCCCAAATATAAATCTGTTAGTCTTTAAGGTGCCACCGGACTCCTCATTGTCTACCAGATAAGGCAGCGAGCAAGGAGGACATGTTTCAAGAGATGTTCCAATCCTCAGAGGCCAAAAACCAAGAATGCAGGGCATGGAAAGAGAGTTTAAAAGAAAATTATAAAACAGGACAGCAAGGAGAGCCAGGAGTGAATTTTAATGGGCCAGGAGCGGATGATAAAAGTGATGGAGGAGCAAATGGAGATGTTAAAGTCTCTAATCATGCTGCTTGCAAAATTAATGCGTGCTCGTCCCTCCAACCCCCCACAGCTGATACAGAACTGCTTTCCATGCCATCCCCAAACTCCTCCCACACATTCCTTTCAACTTTCCGCCCAACTCAGTACCCTATTCGCTCCACCCCTTTGGACAGCTTCCAAAATGATAGCTGGACTTACAGACAGCAATAAGGGTCTACACTGCCCATCATTGTTATCCCCCTTTCCACCAATCCTTTTGTGTGTGTTGTTAATGGGTATTTAATAAAAACATACTCTCTGAAAGATAACCAATGTTTGTCTCCTACATACGGTGTTTGAATTAATACACAGTTGTAATCTGATCATTTGCTGACTACAAATCATGGTCAGAAATCATCAAAATTTCAAGAAAGGCGGCAAATTAACACAGCATGGCGGAGTGCTGTATAGAAAGACACATTACTGGTGTTCATTGTCAAAATGGTGCCTCAAAGCCTCTCTGATTCAGGTAGCTCCCCATTGTGCCCCTCTAATAGCTCTGGTATCTGGCTGCTCAAAATCAGCCACCAGGCAATTCGCCTCTACACTCCACCCCAGGAGAAACTTTTCACCCTTAGCCTCACAAATATTATTCAGCACACAGCAGGCTGCTATGACCATGGGAATATTTTCTTCATTTGGGTTTAACATGCCATAAAGGCAGCACCAGTGTGCTTTTAATCTGCCAAAGGCACATTCCACGGTCATTCTGCACCTGCTCAGCCTCTTGTTGAAGCGCTCCTTGCTGCTGTCCAGGTTTCCTGAGTAAAAGTTCATGAGCCATGAGAGTAAAGGGTATGCTCGGTCTTCCAGGATCACCATGGGCATTTCAACAGACCCCAGTGAAAACTTCTGATCTGAAAAGAAAGTCTCTGCTTACAGCTTTATGTACACGCCAGTGTTCCTGAAGATGCATGTGTCATGGACCTTCCTGGACCACGCCGCATTGATGTCAGTGACACGTCCAGTGATCAACAAGCGCCTGCAATACCATGGAGAGGTACCCCTTTGTACTGATGTACTACGTCACAAGATGGTCCGGGGCCAAAATTGGACTCTGCATGCCATCTATCGCCCTGCCGCAGTTAGGGAATCCCACTGCTACAAAGCCATCTACTATTTCACACACATTGCCAACAGTCACAGTCCTTTGTAGCAGGATGTGATTACCTGCCCTGCACACTTGCATTCATGCAGCCCCAATGGTGGACTTCCCAACTCCAAACTGAGTCACGACTGACCGGTAGCAGTCTGTAGTTGCCAGCTTCCACACAGTGATCATCATGCTCTTCTCCACAGAGAGGGCAGCTCTTATTTTGGTGTCCTTGCCCCACAGTGCTGGGCCAAGCTCCGTGCACAGTTCGAGGAAGGTAGCTTTCTGCGTCCAAAAGTTCTGCAGTCACTGCTCATCATCCCGCACCTGCATAACAATGCAATCCCACCACGCAGTGCTTGTTTCCCGAGCCCAAAAGCGACGGTCCACCGTGTGCAGCTGCTCCATGAATGTCAAAAGTAATCTGGTGTTGTTTCTTTCCATGGCACACAGCAGGTCAGGCACCTCGGATTCCTGTTAACATTGGATGCTCATGATATATTGCATAATCAGTCGTGATGTGTTCATCTACAGTGACCACAACAGTAGAGAACATTGTAGGGTCCATGCTTTCAGATATGGCAGGTAAACAGTAAATGGGGGAAATTGAAAAATGCTGTGAAATGCAGTTGGAATGGTGGGACAGAAAAAAAGTGCATCATAGGACGTTGATCCCGCATCCATGATGCGCTGTGATCCACTCCACCTTCCCACAACTTCTAGCTGCAGAAGGTGTCAAGTAGTCCAGTGGGATAGCTACCCACAGTGCACTGCTCTCACTGTCGATGCTAGAGCAACAACTGCGGACACGCTCTGCCACAGAAGGAGCGTTGTGTGAACATGCAAAAGTGATGTAATTATACTGGTTTTTGATCGTCGGCATAACTTGCATTGACAAAACTCTGTAGTGTAGACAAGGCCTAAGTGAGAGTGGTTTTTATTCAATGAACATGGGTTCATCTCTTGAGCATCATGTTTTAAGCAGTCACTGGCTGTTCACAGCTGGACTAGGCTAACCTGCATGCTGATCACCCAAGTTAACTCTGCAGTGAAAACACAGCCTTATTCAAGTGAGCAGATCCACTGAAGTCAGTGTGGCTATTGACATAAAGAGTTTGACCCCTTCTGTTTATCATCATAACCCTTGTGCTCATTACTACTACTTCTATCAAGTAACTAAGATGTTACTGCGTGCCTCACAGTCATAATACAGACAGGTTCCTGCCCCACAAGGCAAAAATCAGAGACCACAGGGAAAGGGATCTAACATGCAATCAACAACTGATTCCCTTATTTGTCTTCCTTCCCTGCCAATCCCTCACTGGAATAGTTTGACATACATCAAGGAAAAACAATGGCCAGTTGATGGGATACATGACCACCTGACTGCCAGTGCACATTACTGGCCTCAGTCCTTCTAGCAGTAATTGGTGTGAACACTAACCTGACTCTCACAGCATCAATGGCTTCCTGTTTCCTATGAAGGGTCAGAGCGCTCTTGAGGGCCCTCTTACACACAGAGGGATAATAAGCAGGAGACTCCATCGCTAATGCTTGAAAAACAAAAGAACATGGAGAAGGAAAATTAAAATGAACAAGGTCAGACCTCCCGCACATTGGTCACTGCACTGTTTCAGGGTCCCCTGTGATAAACGAATGACTCTAGATTTGTATAACAGAAATGTTATTTCATAAGCAGCAATTGTATTCTTGTCCTGCGGAGCTGCTCAGTACTAGTGACTGCTGGTGCAGAGCACAAGCCAGCATGGCTTTACTTCCTTCTTGTCACAAGATCATAAATGATAGTTGCAGAGCTTAAGAAAATAGGTTCTGTAGTTAATGAGAGGTCTCTTTGTTGACTGGCTATGTCTGCTGCAGCAACACAAAAATAGAGGTGTCCTACATTAACAATGGCTATTTGGTTTTGTTTTACATTTCCTGGCAATACCATGACTGATTTAAAAAAAAAAAAGAGAGAGAAATGCAGAATCTAGGAGTCATTCCCTGATCTACACTAATAGTTTCAAAATAAGTGAAATGTAAACAATTTGTCATTTGGGTTCTAAGATACTCCCTCACCTTCCTGAAAGCCCATTCTAAATGCTCAAGTTCCAAAAGGCATCGCTAGAGCTTTGCGATGAGGAGACAGAGCAGTACAGCAAATGCCAGTTACAAGCTTCTCCATTATCTTTGGATTTTAAGTCAAGACTGGACATCTTCTGAAGGATCTGCTCTTGCTCAATCAGAAGTTATTGGCCTGGATACAGGAACCACTAGGGGACACTGTCTGGCCTGTGTCAGGCAGGAGGTCAGACTAGACAATCATAATGGTTCCTTCTGGCCTTAAACTCTATGAAAAGGTTTTGGATTTTTGAGATGGAGGGAGTCTGTAAGGCACTGGCTCACATTCCATATGTATCACCAACAGGTTGATACTTCAAAATATGGAGATCTCTGGGTACTACAGTGATCACAAATACCTCCTCCAGGCAACACAGTATGCCTGGATTTTGCATAGATTTTCACTGCTACAGAGTAATAGTCCTACTCACTCCAAATGAAAGAGAAAGAATATCATAAGATGCAGTCATGGCCAAGTTTCTTTACATGACCTTAACAACTATGGAAATGTAAATAGGGCCCTTACAAGCAATGGTTTCTAGAATCTTAGTCTCTATTTGTGGCAGTTCCCACACCAATTCCAGCAGGCTGTCCAGTTCTGGATCATTGAGTTTGGCTCTTGCTTCAAATTCATAAACCAGCAGCAATGTGTCTGTTGGGTCTTTGGAGAAATCTCCTGCAGAGGACACACAGTATTGCCTGTTATTAGTCAATCTGTTATAGTCAGTTTATGAAATGAAGCTGCAAGGTGCAGCTTTGCCCCCAGTACCAGGAAAATCCTTAAACCAAGGCACTGAGACTTAACAGTAAGGAACAAACTATGAGGTTTAACAACCATGTTTGAACCGCATAAATACATACAGCACAGATTAAACTCCTGAAGTTTTCTCCCGGCATTAATCTGGAGTGAATAATCCCGAGTAAATTACACCTACATAGAGAGGACTACCTCAAAAGCAAGCAACTTTCTTAGGCCTTGGCTACACTTGTGAGTTGGAACGCATTAAATCAGCCTCGGGTGCCCTCACTCCTGAGGTGTCCACACTGGCAAGGCACGTAGAGCGTCCGGACTCTGTGGCTGGAGCACCCCTGGTAATCCACCTCCACGAGAAGCATAACGCTTGCTGTGCCCCGGCTGCAGCGCCGGGGTGCCAGTGTGGACACCCTGGTCTATTAATGCGCTCTTATCAGCCTCCATGAAGTGTCCCACAATGCCTGTTCTAGCCACTCTGGTCATCACTTTGAACTCTACTGCCCTGCCCTCAAGCGACCAACCGTCAGACTCGCCCTTTAAATTCTCTTGGAATTTTGAAATTCCCCTTCCTGTTTGCTCAGCAAGGCGTACAGTCCTCTCAGCACATCTTTCCAGGTGACCATGCCTCCAGGTGCCAGGTGATCCCCAGCATGTGTTATGTTGGATCATATTAAAGAAGTTCTGTATTAAAATCACAAATGAGTTTGATTCCCCATAATTTAAATTCCAGGGTATTACTAATTAAGAGGTCTCTTGGTTTTTGGTCTCTTGTTTTTACTGTTTCTCTCCCTCTCTGTGTGAAACTTGCAAGCTGCTAATTGTGTTAGTACATCCTAAGACAGAGTCTGTTCTCAAAGCAATACTTTGTAACAACTACTCACCCAGAGAGAGCAACTCAAAGCGATACTTTGTAACAACAGAAACAACACACAGAGACCCCCCGCTCTTTTGTTGTATTCATCTCGCTTTGTTAACAATTGTGATTAAAATAGAGATAGAGGATGTATGTGGATGGATGCTTGGTGTGGATAATAAATGATCAGGGAGGTACCAGCCTAAGAATCCAGTGTCGATCGGCCGAAGAAGGCGTCAACTGGAAACAACTAGAGGACCCCCGGAGGGCAGACTAGAATCCACCCAACAGCCTCAAGGATGGGAGAACCGAAGAACAAGATAACATCGAGCAGCACGGAGCCGTCAGGAATGTGCCATCGGCTGATTGATTCAGCAACAGCATGATGAAGCAATTCCCATAGACTGGCATAGAAATAAATTCCTAAAAAATGGACTCTAGAAACTGAGAACTTTGGGGTCTGCAAACCAACTTCCAGGAGCATCAGATGCGCATCTGACAAGGCCCTGCTCTCTCCTCATGTCCAGGCCACCTGGCCAGTGGCTTGGCACGAGCAACTCTAAGGCTGGTAACTATGATAACAACCTTGCAGAACCCATGTGTGTGTATGAATGAATGTGTGAATAAATATGAAATTGAATGGAATGTTATAGCTATAACTAACTGCTGACTATGATTCTTTCTGTATTCACAATAACTGTGGCATTTTGCCTTATCCCCTTTAATAAGATCCTGCTGGTTTTTATTTTATTGGTATAATATATGAAGCAATGGCGAGGTGCTGGACCTCATCACTGTTTGAGGGAGGAAGCTGTCCAGTCCCAGCTGCACTCTAGCCGTAGGAATTATGATACCTACGGGCAGATATCAAGGGCCATGATAGAAAGGGGCCATGACCGGGACGCAGTGTAGTGCAGGGTTAAAGTGAAGGAGCTGCGGAATGCCTACCACAAAGCACGGGAGGCAAACCGCCGCTTTGGTGCTGCGCCCATGACCTGCTGTTTCTACAAAGAGCTGGACAAGATACTTGGGGGCGACCCCACCTCCAATTCGAAGAGCACCATGGACACTTCAGAGGCCCTGGCAGCCCAGAGGGCAACAAGGCAGGAGGAGGAAAGTGGGAGTGAGGGTGCTGAGAAGGAGGTGGGTCCAGAGCCAGAGGACAGCCCGGCATCCCTAGATGCATGCAGCTAGGAGCTGTTTTCAAGCCAGGAGGAAGGTAGCCAGTTGCAGCAGACGGTGCTTGTGGAAGAACAAACAGCAGAGGAGGTGCCCAGTAAGCAGCTTTTATTTTGGGTAGGAAGTTGTTCAGTGCAGGCTGTTGGGGCAAGGAGTGTTACAAAAAGAAGGGTTAGGGCTGCGTGCATGCCTAGATGAGGAATAAGGTGTTGATGTGGTCTCTCACATCGTGGTAATCGGCCTCAGTTATCTCACTGAATGTCTCATGCAGAAGCTGGGCAATCCACTTGCACAGGTTCCTTGGTAGAGCTACTGTGCTCCTTGTCCCAGTCAGGCTAACATGTCTGCACCACTGTGCCATGCAGGGCTGGGGGGACCACTGTTGCACACAGGCAAGCTGCATAAGGGCCAGGGCGGAAGCACCATTGTAGTTGAAGACCCTCCCTTGCTTCCCAGGTTACTCTCAGCAGCGAGATAGCTTCCAGGACGAACTCCTGTGGAAAATGTGGAGACAGTGTTTAGTATTGGGGCCCTCTGCAGCTGCTGGCTCTCCCCAAGGCAAAGAACCCTAGAGGACAGTGTGGCCCTGAAATAATCAGTCCCCCTTGCCCCGTGGTTACTTACCATTTCGGGGCCCCTGTGGGTTATGTGCGCTCGCTATCTTTGGGACGGGCACTTTCTGCGATTGTGTGCACTGTGCTTGTCTTTAAGTTCAGCCAAATCATTGCTCTAATGTGAACAATGCTGCCTCTGTTAAGTGTTGCATTTTGGCTTTACAGATGCAACCTTGAGATCCCAGCGGTCCTTGTTATCAACGGCCGAAAGGCTGCAAAGAATCAGGAAGCAGCTGGAAGAAGTAAGGAGGACCTTCTGCATGAAGTCAAAAAGTACAGGAGTGGCGGGAGACCAAAAGGAGGCTCCGCCAGGGGAATGTGGATCACTGGCAACAAACCACGGAGCAGCTCCTAAGCATTATGGACCTCCAAGTGGACTCGATGCACAACACTGCAGACAGAGCAGATCCACGCCTGCCCCCCAATCCCCGCTGCAGCCCTTGTCCCAAAACTCTTTCCCTTGTGCCCCCATGTCACCACCAACCCACTTTCCCCAACATCTGGTTTCTTATTGCCACCAGCTGCCTCCAACACCTGTAGCTTCACCACCCAGCCCTGCAAACTACAAACCTTACCCACTGCACTCAACCCCCATCACCATGAATTTGAGCCAGCCTGAAGTGCAGCACTCATTACACGGCACTCCAGTGAAAAACAATCAGATTGACATTTGAATATGTGACGCTGTATGGAATATGCAGAACACTGTGATGTTATTGATACCAATATTATAGAATTGCAATGAATCTGACCAGATATGCCGTATAAGGTATCTGTGAAAATGTTATAATTGGCCAAGTATGATAATCTCATTTATATGTTTGCATCACCTTTGTATGATGAGTTATAGATATGTAGGGTACAGCTGTATTTCCAAACTTGTGCTGTTTCTGGATGACACTCCCAAACTAGGGTTGCCAGGTGTCTGGTTTTCAACCGGAATGCCTGATCGAAAAGGGATCCTGGCGGCTCTGGTCAGCACCACGCATTTCTGGATCCCTAGCCCAGAGCCTGTAACCCCATCCCAACCCGCTGCCCCAGCCTGGAGCCCCCTCCCGCACCCTGAACCGCTCATTTCTGCACCCCCAGCCCAGCGCCTGTATCCCCTCCCACACCCCAACCCCCTGCCTCAGCCCAGTCTCCTCCCATACGCTGAACTCCTCGGTTCCACCCCACAGCCTCAAGCAACCTCCTGCACTCCAAATCCCTTATCCCTGGCTCCACCCCAGAGCCAGCACCCTCAGCCAGAACCCTCACCTCCCTGATGCGCCCCAGCCCGGAGCCCCTCCCGCACTCTGAACCCCTCAGCCCCAGCCCGGAGCCCCCTCCTGCACCCCAAATCCCTCATCCCTGGCTGCACCCAAGAGCCTATACCCACATCCAGAGCCCTCACCCCCTCCCACACCCCAACCGCTGGAGTCAGTCCAGTGAAAATAAGCGAGTGAGGGTGGGGAGAGTGAGTGACAGAGGGAGAGGGGATGGAGGGAGACTGGGCGGGGCCTTGGAGAAGGGGTGGGGCAGGGCAAGGGTGTTTGGTTTTGTGCAAGTAGAAAGTTGGCAACCCTACCCCAGACAGATTGGCATCAGCAATGCCTAGCCTGTTCGATGGCCCACCAAGGGTCATCAATGGTATAATGAACCTATAGAAAGAAGCCAGGGGCTACACCTTATGAGTCAGCAAGACATGTAGGGGCATGTCCTTGACAAAGCCCTGGCTGGGATGATTTAACTGGGAATTGGTCCTGCTTCGAGCAGGGGGTTGGACTAGATGACCTTCTGGGGTCCCTTCCAACCCTTATATTCTATGATTCTATGATTCTATGTCTGTGGACACAGAACTCTAAGGCTTTTCCATGCCATGTGCTGTGAAGCTTGTGTTTGGGAAAAAGGAAGTACCTGCCACATGGCAAAAGAATATAAAAAGCAGCTGCATCTTCTCCATTTTGTCTTCATTCCTGCTTTTTACCTCTGGAATAACTTTTGTACAAGCTGAAGCATTGAACAAAGGACTGAATGATCCATCCAAGCTGTGGATGTGTTCCAGAGGGACTTTCAAGCCAGCAAACTCACCAATACTGCTAAGAACCTGATATATGGACTTTGAAGTCTCTGTATGTATCTGATTGATTTACCATTTAACAACTCTCTTCTTATTTCTTTATAATAAATCTTTCCTGTTAGTAGATTACATTTGAAATTATAGCTGAAAATTGGCCCACTCAGGACACCCAGAAAATAGTCAGCACAAACTTAAGAGCAAACATTATGCCCCACTGCCACCAGGAGATTGCAAAAATAAATTCCCATTCATAAAGGTCCCTGTGGGCTAAGAGGAATATTTGCCGATGTGATACAGTGTGAAAATTAGATGCTTTTGAAAAAAAAAAAGTCATTTTAAGAATAAAGAGAACGTATTTAGTAAAATGTATTGTTTTTTCTTTGGTGTCATCTTAGAAATTATTCCAGAGTCATCTGTCCTCTTTGCTGGTGCTACCAACTACAACATAATTACAACTCATTACAGTCATCTGGATTTGTAATTTCACTTTTCCTTGGAAAACAGGCAGTCAACATAGTGAGCCAAATTTATCACCACAGTGACTCCACTAAATGTGACCCACTCTAACAGATTCACTTCAGTTCCCACCAGCACTTCAATAAAAGTTGCCCACCCCCAGTTTCACACACTCAGTATGGCAAGTATGTATCTCCTGCTGAAAACTATGTATGTGCCACCCTGAGCTGTTAACTTCTTGAGTGCTGCACAAGATATAGGCTGAATCAGTTCAATTGTGTGATAATCATCGTAAGAAAACATCATGATGCCTATCTGAGTATTGTTTTGTCCTGTGTGATTCACCCTATCCCAATGGTACTGAAGGGGTTAATTAACTGCATATAAAACAGTACCTGTAGATTTTACACTGCATGTGCAAAGGGACTCATCAAAAGAGAAAAGGGACTTATCAAAAGCGTAAACAGCGAGGTGGCAAAGTTTGCAGATGATGCTAAACTGCTCAAGATAGTTAAGACCAAAGCAGACTGTGAAGAACTTCAAAAGCTCTCACAAAACTAAGTGATTGGGCAACAAAATGGCAAATGAAATTTAATGTGGATAAATGTAAAGTAATGCACAGTGGAAAAAATAATCCCACCTATACATACAATACAATGAGGGCTAATTTAGCTACAGCTAATCAGGAGAAAGATCTTGGAGTCATCATGGATAGTTCTCTGAAGACGTCCACGCAGTGTGCAGCGGCAGTCAAAAAAGCAAGCAGGATGTTAGGAATCATTTAAAAAGGGATAGAGAATAAGACGGAGAATATCTTATTGCCCTTGTATAAATCCATGGTACGCCCACATCTTGAATACAGCATACAGATGTGGTCTCCTCATCTCAAAAAAGATATACTAGCATTAGAAAAGGTTCAGAAAAGGGTAACTAAAATGATTAGGGGTTTGGATCGGGTCCCATATGAGGAGAGATTAAAGAGGCTAGGACTTTTCAGCTTGGAAAAGAGGAGGTTAAGGGGGGATATGATAGAGGTCTATAAAATCATGAGTGATGTGGAGAAAGTGAAAAAGGAAAAGTGATTTACTTGTTCCTATAATATAAGAATAAGGGGTCAGCAAATGAAATTAATGGGCAACAGGTTTAAAACAAATAAAAGGAAGTTCTTTTTCACACAGCGCACAGTCAACCGGTGGAACTCCTTGTCTGAGGAGGTTGTGAAGGTTAGGACTATAACAGGGTTTAAAAGAGAACTGGATAAATTCATGGAGGCTAAGTCCATTAATGGCTATTAGAATCATAGAATCATAGAATATAAGGGTTGGAAGGGACCCCAGAAGGTCATCTAGTCCAACCCCCTTCTCGAAGCAGGACCAAATCCCAGTTAAATCATCCCAGCCAGGGCTTTGTCAAGCCTGACCTTAAAAACCTCTAAGGAAGGAGATTCTACCACCTCCCTAGGTAACGCATTCCAGTGTTTCACCACCCTCTTAGTGAAAAAGTTTTTCCTAATATCCAATCTAAACCTCCCCCACTGCAACTTGAGACCATTACTCCTCGTTCTGTCATCTGCTACCATTGAGAACAGTCTAGAGCCATCCTCTTTGGAACCCCCTTTCAGGTAGTTGAAAGCAGCTATCAAATCCCCCCTCATTCTTCTCTTCTGCAGGCTAAACAATCCCAGCTCCCTCAGCCTCTCCTCATAACTCATGTGTTCCAGACCCCTAATCATTTTTGTTGCCCTTCGCTGGACTCTCTCCAATTTATCCACATCCTTCTTGAAGTGTGGGGCCCAAAACTGGACACAGTACTCCAGATGAGGCCTCACCAATGTCGAATAGAGGGGAACGATCACGTCCCTCGATCTGCTCGCTATGCCCCTACTTATACATCCCAAAATGCCATTGGCCTTCTTGGCAACAAGGGCACACTGCTGACTCATATCCAGCTTCTCATCCACTGTCACCCCTAGGTCCTTTTCCGCAAAACTGCCATTCGGTCCCTAGTCTGTAGCTGTGCATTGGGTTCTTCCGTCCTAAGTGCAGGACCCTGCACTTATGCTTATTGAACCTCATCAGATTTCTTTTGGCCCAATCCTCCAATTTGTCTAGGTCCTTCTGTATCCTATCCCTTCCCTCCAGCGTATCTACCACTCCTCCCAGTTTAGTATCATCCGCAAATTTGCTGAGAGTGCAATCCACACCATCCTCCAGATCATTTATGAAGATATTGAACAAAACCGGCCCCAGGACCGACACCTTGGGGCACTCCACTTGATACCGGCTGCCAACTAGACATGGAACCATTGATAACTACCCGTTGAGCCCAACAATCTAGCCAGCTTTCTACCCACCTTATAGTGCATTCTTCCAGCCCATACTTCCTTAACTTGCTGACAAGAATACTGTGGGAGACCGTGTCAAAAGCTTTGCTAAAGTCAAGAAACAATACATCCACTGCTTTCCCTTCATCCACAGAACCAGTAATCGCATCATAAAAGGCGATTAGATTAGTCAGGCATGACCTTCCCTTGGTGAATCCATGCTGGCTGTTCCTGATCACTTTCCTCTCATGCAAGTGCTTCAGAATTGATTCTTTGAGGACCTGCTCCATGATTTTTCCAGGGACTGAGGTGAGGCTGACTGGCCTGTAGTTCCCAGGATCCTCCTTCTTCCCTTTTTTAAAGATTGGCACTACATTAGCCTTTTTCCAGTCATCCGGGACTTCCCCCGTTCGCCACGAGTTTTCAAAGATAATGGCCAATGGCTCTGCAATCACAGCCGCCAATTCCTTCAGCACTCTCGGATGCAACTCGTCCGGCCCCATGGACTTGTGCACGTCCAGCTTTTCTAAATAGTCCCTAAACACCTCTATCTCCACAGAGGGCTGGCCATCTCTTCCCCATTTTGCGATGCCCAGCGCAGCAGTCTGGGAGCTGTCCTTGTTAGTGAAAACAGAGGCAAAAAAAGCATTGAGTACATTAGCTTTTTCCACATCCTCTGTCACTAGGTTGCCTCCCTCATTCAGTAAGGGGCCCACACTTTCCTTGGCTTTCTTCTTGTTGCCAACATACCTGAAGAAACCCTTCTTGTTACTCTTGACATCTCTGGCTAGCTGCAGCTCCAGGTGCGATTTGGCCCTCCTGATATCATTCCTACATGCCCGAGCAATATTTTTATACTCTTCCCTGGTCATATGTCCAATCTTCCACTTCTTGTAAGCCTCTTTTTTATGTTTAAGATCCGCTAGGATTTCACCATTAAGCCAAGCTGGTCGCCTGCCATATTTACTATTCTTTCGACTCATCGGGATGGTTTGTCCCTGTAACCTCAACAGGGATTCCTTGAAATACAGCCAGCTCTCCTGGACTCCTTTCCCCTTCAAGTTAGTCCCCCAGGGGATCCTGGCCATCCGTTCCCTGAGGGAGTCGAAGTCTGCTTTCCTGAAGTCCAGGGTTCGTATCCTGCTGCTTAGCTGGGATGGGTAAGGAATGGTGTCCCTAGCCTCTGTTTGTCAGAGGGTGGAGATGGCTGGCAGAAGAGAGATCACTTATGAAAATCCAGGAATACTTGCCGCCATGTAGGTACACACAAAAAGTTGAGAGTGACTCAAGTTACTCAGGTTAATGGAAAGCAGGCATATAACAAACCCTGTCACTGGCTGGTGGTAATGAAAAGAGGCAGGGCTGAACCATATAAATATGCCTCTTCCTACTTAGAGGAGCTCAGGTTCAGGTCAGGTTAGAGCCTGGGAGAAGAGAAGAGGGATTCATTCTCAGTCCGGAGAGGGCTGCATACTGAAATACCTGTCCTGTTCATAAAGTTACTTTTCCCACCTGCACTATAACTATGTTGAGCATTTTAGTGCCCCATAATGAGCCTGCAATGGCAAGAGAAAGTTTACACTAACATCTTATCCTTATTCTATTATCTTCAAGAAAACAACACATGAACCCACACAAGTTTTTCTTTTAGAATCATAGAATATCAGGGTTGGAAGGGACCTCAGGAGGTCATCTAGTTCAATGCACTGCTCAAAGCAGGACCAATCCCCAATTTTTGCCCCAGATCCCTAAATGGCCCCCTCAAGGATTGAACTCACAACCCTGGGTTTAGAAGGCCAATACTCAAATCACTAAGCTATCCCGCCCCCCAGAGCCTTCCTGTATGCTCTTCCTGCTGGAGATCCAGAGAAGAAAAGGCATCAGACAGTTCTCTGACTTTTGGTACAGTACCTAATCCATGAATTTGAATCCTAATGTGCCACTTTAGTTAAACTGGGAAATCTAGGCATTTTTTCTCCTGTTAAACTGCACAGTGCAAGGAAACAGGTTTGGCAGAGTAAACTTTTGTTTTAAAGAACCTGGGAATTTTTGTACAGGCTGCTCTAGTCATTGGCTCTAAGTACTGCTATACTACATAATCAAACAGAATTTCTAACTTACCTGTTAGCTTCAGAACATTCCAGATTTCCCTGCATGCCTGGATGTGATGAAGGGCCTGAGACAGAAGCTCAATCTATTTTGTAAAATTAATACATTATTTTTAAACTATGTTTTTAAAAAGAAACATGAATATAAATCTCACAGCAAACTACAGTAGAGAAGCCTCCAGAGTACCTGGCTACATAATAAGTGAAAAGCCAGGCTAACTCTAATGCATCATCTGCACCCAGTTTTCTTTTTCTTCTTCTTTAGGAGAGACCTCTACACCCCATTCAAAGCATCAAGGATCCATCACACTTGAGGCTCCATTGGTCCAGGCACATAGCACTAAGATGACTCTAAGGGACATGGCTTATATGAACCATCAGCCAGAAAACATTGCTACTGAGTGCAAGACATTCTCAAAAAAGTTGAACATTCCTGTCTATGCAGTACAATGATTGCAGCCTGTCTAGTGAGTAAGAGACCGGTATCAGACACTGAACCCAAGTTCCCAGCACAGCAGTAGCACAGGGCACGATAATCTGACCAGGAATGAGAAATTGAACATCAGGCCCCTTGGTAGAGTAACAGAGGGCATTATCACCTATATTTGTACCGGAAATCAAACCCTGGAATCCAGAATGGTATTATGACCTGACACCATACATAGCTGTAAGAAGGGCCATGCATAGGTTGCAAACAAAATGAGAGCAACTAGCAGCACTGGTCTGTTCTGCATGGCTGGGCTCTCACTCCTTGTCAAAGAGGTGCAAAGGCAAGATCGTAGTGTCACAATTAGGACTAGTACTCATAGGACAGTCACTCCCAGAGTGTTTTTAAAAAAGAAACCTATTTCTGTGCAGTGTTCTCTGCAGAAAAGACAGAGGCCCAAGCACTGAACCCCGCTCAGCAAACTTTTGCACTTATCACCACTCAACAGATTTCTGTACTTCTTCCACAACCTATTAATGTAAATATTCTCCTCCAGGGTGTGTGTATGCATCAGAAAATAAAAACTGTGACCTTCATAATATTCACATCACCACCTCAGCAACTGCATAATCCTACTGCTATAGTCTTAATCTTCCTGTTCCACCCTGGTTTGTCATCACCCCTTCATACATGTTATCTTAATGTAGATTGTAATGTAAACTCCTTGGGGCAGGGACACTGGCCCAGATCCTCTGATAGTGTACATCCATTTAGCTCCATTGAAGTCAACAAAATCAATTTACAGCAGCTGAGAATTTGGTCCAATATCTTATATTGGTTGTAAAGCAACATGAAAATTTACTCTATATTGTGAAAGGATTGTATTTTCAAGCTCCCGTCCTACGTGAAATAACTGAGAATTATAAAACACCGAAAGAAGCTATGTTTAGGGTACATTAAAAGCCAGATGTTCACCTGCCCCATATGTAAAGGGCCAGCACTCTACCTGTTCAGTGAGTGTTAAACTGCATCGCCCCATTTCCAGATCAACTGCTGCAGCCAACAGCAAGCATGTCTTCTGGGCAATCAGAACAGCTGTATCAGATGGACAAAACTGGGAGAACTAAAACAGAAACATGAATAGTCAGCGAGGATACTGCCAGGTCACGGCTAGCAATCAACAAAGAAAGAAACATTTTCTACTGCAGTGATAGAAAGAAAGTAGTTATTTCCATTTTTCCTTTATCTCCCACTGTTTGTGACACTTTTCCAGAGGCTCAAGTACCATTTCCTTCCTTCCCACTCATCTTTTTCCACCTGGAGAGCACTGATTACATCACTTCCGTTGAAGCTGACCCTTCTGGGCCTTTCTGTTTTGTCCTGGGTTTATACAACAGCAGCAGCAATGCTGACAGCACAACTGGGGGACACATTTTACTTAAAGGGACACTAGGCGGGTGAGGATTATCTTCTATTGGAACAACCTCTGCTGGTCAGAGAGACAAAATTTCAAGCTTACACAGAGCTCTTCTTCAGGTTCACTTTAGCAAAGCTTTTGATATGGTCTCCCACAGTATTCTTGCCAGCAAGTTAAAGTAGTATGGGCTGGATGAATGGACTATAAGGTGGATAGAAAGCTGGCTAGATCATCGGGCTCAACGGGTAGTGATCAATGCTCCCATGTCTAGTTGGCAGCCGGTATCAAGCGGAGTGTCCCAAGGGTTGGTCCTGGGGCCGGTTTTGTTCAATATCTTCATTAATGATCTGGAGGATGGTGTGGATTTCACCCTCAGCAAGTTTGCAGATGACACTAAACTGGGAGGAGTGGTAGATATGCTGGAGGGTAGGGACAGGATACAGAGGGACCTAGACAAATTGGAGGATTGGGCCAAAAGAAATCTGATGAGGTTCAACAAGGACAAGTGCAGAGTCCTGCACTTAGGATGGAAGAACCCCATGCACTGCTACAGACTAGGGACTGAATGGCTCGGCAGCAGTTCTGCAGAAAAGGACCTACGGGTTACAGTGGACGAGAAGCTGGATATGAGTCAACAGTGTGCCCTTGTTGCCAAGAAGGCTAACGGCATTTTGGGCTGTATAAGTAGGGGCACTGCCAGCAGATTGAGGGATGTGATCGTTCCCCTCTATTCAACATTGGTGAGGCCTCATCTGGAGTACTGTGTCCAGTTTTGGGCCCCACACTACAAGAAGGATGTGGAAAAATTGGAAAGCGTCCAGCGGAGGGCAACAAAAATGATTAGGGGACTGGAACACATGATTTATGAGGAGAGGCTGAGGGAACTGGGATTATTTAGTCTGCAGAAGAGAAGAATGAGGGGGGATTTGATAGCTGCTTTCAACTACCTGAAAAGGATGGATCTAGACTGTTCTCAGTGGTAGCAGATGACAGAACAAGGAGTAATGGTCTCAAGTTTCAGTGGGGGAGGTTTAGGTTGGATATTAGGAAAAACATTTTCACTAGGAAGGTGGCGAAGCACTGGAATGCGTTACCTAGGGAGGTGGTGGAATCTCCTTCCTTTGAGGTTTTGAAGGTCAGGCTTGACAAAGCCCTGGCTGGGATAATTTAGTTGGGGATTGGTCCTGCTTTGAGCAGGGGGGTTGGACTAGATGACCTCCTGAGGTCCCTTCCAACCCTGATATTCTATGATTCTATAATTCTAGGCTCGAAAGCTTGTCTCTCTCACCAACAGCAGTTGGTCCAATAAAAGATATTACCTCACCCACCTTGTCTCTCTAATATCCTGGAACCAACAAGGCTATAACATCACATACATTAAATGAATACTCTCAATCATTCTTTTATATTTTTCCTGTATTGCTAGCTCTCAAAATCACTTTCTCCTTTTCTGATGGGCAGACATTGTTTTTTCCCATGGTCTGTATAGAGCTGAAATTAACAGACATTTTTTGTTTACAGGAACATTGTACAACCTCCAAATATGCCTTCCCATTCTGAAAATGGCAACACTTATTTTAAACGTGTCTCTAGTACGCAAAAGGCTCCCACCTCCCAAATAAGGGAGTTTATGGAGGAGATGGTATGATGGGATAACATGCTTTTGGTAATTAAATATTTATGGTAAATAGGCCCAATGGCCTGTGATGGGATATTAGATGGGGTGGGATCTGAGTTACCCAGGAAAAAATTTTCTGTAGTATTTGGCTGGTGAATCTTGCCCATATGCTCAGGGTTTAGCTGATCGCCATATCTGGGGTCGGGAAGGAATTTTCCTCCAGGGCAGATTGGAAGGCCCTGGAGGTTTTTCGCCTTCCTCTGTAGCCTGGGGTACGGGTCACTTGCTGGAGTATTCTCTGCTCCTTGAAGTCTTTAAACCACGATTTGAGGACTTCAATAGCTCAGACATAGGTGAGAGGTTTTTCGCAGGAGTGGTGGGTGAAATTCTGTGGCCTGCGTTGTGCAGGAGGTCAGACTAGATGATCATAATGGTCCCTTCTGACCTAAATATCTATGAATCTATGACTCTAAGGGCTGTATGTGCGGATCTGGCAAGTCTCACTATTTCCAGGGGAAACTCCCTGATTTTGAATTTATTTTAAGACAGATTTTAAAGTCTTTAGGCCAGATTCTGATCTGTTAGAACAGTGAAAATCTGGAATAACTCTAATGATTTCAATAAAATTACGCCAGATTTAGACTAGTGTAAATAAGTTTAATCCAAACTTTCTCTCTCTCTCTTACGTTGATGGATATTCATTCAGTCACTTTTTAAGGCACTCAACCCTTTGTTCCCACAATGCCTTAGAGCCTGAAGTCTGGGATGAGGGCCAAAACTACAATACAATAAAATTGCATAGGTAAGGTTCATCTGTGAAAGAGACAGAACTTTCTCAGGGGCCAATATCGAACTGTGGAACATATACCCACAGGCACTAAAGACCATCATAACCCTCACTATCCTTCCACTCCTGGTGCAAGGTACAATTCTACCTGCCTTGTTAATATAAACAGAGAGCACAGTGTACATTTAATATATTACATTACTTTGAAGAAAAGAAATAACCCCCAGACACAGAAACTCTCCTCCCTGGGGAGAGGAATACAGAAAGAATGAACCACACATGACAGGGTCTAGTCACATCGCTTACCACACTTCTGGAAGATGCTCAATTACTACTATGATGAGGGATATATTAGAACCTGAACAGAATTCAAATATGTGATTCACTGAGAATTTTGAAATCTCCACAAGTCAGTTGTCCCAGCCTGACATCCCTACAATAGTCTGAAAATCAGAGTCTTTTGAAGATGCAATGAAAACTAATCTTCGATGGGACTCTGACTGTCACACACATGCTGTGCCTGCACTAGGAGGTGCTGGAGAAGGACACATTTATCACAACATTTTGGGCGGTAAGTACACAGATACTGCATGTCCATTTATCCCAGAAGGGGTTGGACATTACAGTAACTGCGGGAGTTCACACTATTTCAAACCTCCACCAAATAGCAGCTCTTCCGATGAAGTGAGCTGTAGCTCACGAAAGCTTATGCTCAAATAAATTTGTTAGTCTCTAAGGTGCCACAAGTACTCCTTTTCTTTTTGTGGATACAGACTAACACGGCTGCTACTCTGAAACCTTAAATTATTCAGTAAGTCTAAGATATCTGGAAATATCCTTCCCCTCATAGATTTGGGGCTTAAACTACATGTCTGTGTTCTTCTCATTGACAGCTTTTCCCAGCTAAAGAAGCCCTTGTTTGCCCACCTTTACTGGTAGAACAGATAATGTTGCACTTGCTCTGAAATCAGGATTGACAGATGGTTGTGTAGTTTTGAAGATTAAACAGTATTCCTAGAACCCTGCTTTTAGCTTCAGCCTCAAGTCACAAGTGTTCAGGTAGCTGGCTGGGATGAACCTGTCCTGTACAGAACCCAGTTCTACAGAGAGGAGTTGTTTATAGACCAGACTTCAGGTAATTGTAATACAACATATTTCTGGTATATTTTATACATAACGAAGTGTAAGTTTATTTGGATAATTACAGGAGTATGAATAAAGAGAGGTTACTCACCTTGTACAGTACGTGGATTTCTTTGAGACATGTCCCTGTGGACGCAGCACTTCGGACGTACTCACACCCCAGGCGCCTTTAATCAGAGAGTTTTGGTGATAGTGCCGATTCGGCCTGTGCATGTGCCCTACGCTTCCTCATCCCCCACTCTGAGGCTATACAGGGCTGCCCGGGCGAACCGCCCTCAGCTCCTTCTCTACTATGATGCCCCCAGAGGATTCTCCAAAACAGAGAATAAGGAGGATGGGTAGTGGAGCGCGCGTAGAGGGACACATCTCCAGTTACTGCACAGGGTGAGTAACCTCTCCTTCTTTCAGGAGGGCCCCTACGGTGCTTACCAAGGTGATTACTGAGCAGTACCCCAGGCTGGAGAGGGGAACTTCAGAGCCAAGTCAAGACTCAAGACAACCCAGCATTTCCAACAGCAGCATCTAGAAGACTAAACCACTGAATAATGGTTGAAGAAGGTATGTATGTGTCACGGAGTCCCTGGGCGATGCTCTGGAACTGCTCCCCATGAAGTCAGTCAGGACTCTGGGGTAGTCGCCTTTCTGTGAGCAGCCTGTCTTCAGGACACACAGCTCACCCGGCTTCCACCTTCCTGGGTCTGACCTCGGAGCATTCAGCATCCTCTGCCTCTCCGTGTGCTTCCCCCAGCGAGTCCGCTCAGGCGGGGCTCCTGGGGAAGCCAGAGGGTCCTGCACCCCAACTTCGCAGTCAGACGTGACTCTCAGCCAGCCAGTAAAACAGAAGGTTTATTAGACGACAGGAACATGGTCTAAAACAGAGCTTGCAGGTGCAGAGAACGGGACCCCTCAGCTGGGTCCATTTTGGGGGGCAGTGAGCCAGACAACCACGTCTGCACTTCACTCCATGTCCCAGCCAGCCCCAAACTGAAACTCCCCTCCAGCCCCTCCTCCTCTGGGCTTTGTTCCTTTCCCGGGCCAGGTGGTCACCTGATTCCTTTGTTCTCCAACCCTTTAGCTCTCACCTTGCAGGGGGGAAGGGCCCAGGCCATCAGTTGCCAGGAAACAGGGTGTCGGCCATTCTCTGTGTCCAGACCCCTG